TTTACAGAACCACTCTGTATAAGGGCTGCACAAAACTTCCAGGGCAGCAGCTTCCCCCACAGCTGGCAGCACCACTATGCTGCACAGACCTGAGGACACAGCTCCCTGTGTTGGCAACGTGAGGCAGGCCACAGGCAGGACCAGTCTGGCCACAAGCTTTGCCCACAGGGCTAATATGACAGCCCCCTTGTTGTACCACACACTGCAGTCAGCTGAAAAAAGGGCAGATATAAGAAAGACCCTTAAAGAATTAGGTAAAATACTTGCTTAGTTTTAATCCTTCTCCAAATGTTTTTGTTGGGGTTTCTTTTTCTACTTGAGTTTCTTAGATATATATATTTTTTATTTTCTAGTTTGCTTTCACTACCCTCTTCACAGGTTTGTTTTCTCTTATTTCTTTGAAAAGTCTATAAACCTCTCCTTTCAACAGTATTACCAAATGGGTAAAGCCATGATAAACTTGAATCAATAATAAACTAACCCATTTTACTTTCTTTCCTCTGACAAGCTCTTCAGTTGTTCAGTGCATTCAAGAGAGCATATTACTCCTTTTAGAATAACTGAAAGCAAAGCTACAAGCATTTGAAATGAAAATGTAAAAGTTCAGAGGTCTTTTCCACTCCCCATGAAGAGAAGGCCCTATATATTTCAGCCTCAGCTATGGATCAGAAACTACCATCAAACAAGAGACATGTTGTCACAGTGTCTGCAGACCTGGCATACCTCTTCGCTTTCTGGTTCCAGCAGCTCCTCAGCTGAGGAGCTGCAAAAGGAAGTCATGCTGTCCCTAGATATCTCCCTGCAGCTGACAGGAAGCAGAACTTCCTGACAGCATCAGAACAGGCTTGCCACCCCCCGGCTTTCTCTGGCGCTTGAAACAATTCTCACCTTTCCTCAGCCCTCAACTGAAGCCCCAGGCTTCTGACATTTCACTTGTCTTGTCAATGAAAAAAGTGGAAGGTGAGAAGCACATCTGATAGTCTACTGGAAAACCTGTGCTTCTCAAAGGCACACTGGTGTCAGAGCTCAGGATACTCAGGTGATGCAAAGGGCACTGCAGAAGTGGATAAAGATTGTCATAGGATACAGCAAGGTACTGAAGTTCATACTGCCTGAAATCAATGTCGCATGAAAGAGAGAGGCTGTACAGAATCACACCTTCACTCTGTTCTGGTTTGAAGAATTAAAAACACTTCAATCATAGATGTATCTTCCCTTAGAAAGACATAATAAAGCATGAAATATTACCTGGTATAAATATGCTGTCCTGGGCATTGGCAATTAGTGGACTGACTGCACATTTCATAGCCAGCTGAAAGGCTTCTTTAGCACCTTTTCTTGATGGTCTCAGGAACAGAATGCTGGTGAAGCTGTCCATGCATTTCAATGCACACTGCCTCAGATACTGATAGACATCACATTATGCTGCATATTCTCCTGTAGTTTAAATATACACTACATTCTTCCACAGATCTCTTCCTGAATATATAACTCAGGTTTCTAAAACAATAACCTTCTCATCTTGAAAAGGGCCCAGTACAGAAGTAAATTGCATAATCTTAATGATCATTTTAGAGAGATTGAAAAGAGGGTGCCTCTCCTGAAAAAGTGTAATGTACTTATTGCGCAGAAAAACCTCTGATGAACGCAAGTTATGGAAACAATTACATAAATGATTTGCCTCTTTCAAAAGCAATGGCATCAACAATATCGCGATAAGAATAAATAATTATTTTCTCAGTTCATACAGGATATATCCAGAGCTTGTTTGTGGTCTGAGCTGTTTTCTGACATCTGATTAAATATCAAAACACGTCAGGCTCTGGTTAGAGATGACCTAGGGCAGCTTTATCTTCTGCATTAAACCAACACACGATTTTGACTACAGCAATGCCTGTTCTTTGTACAGTTCCTTTTTATACAATGGTTAACACTTCTTGGAGAAGAGATTACCAGAAGAAAACACCATTCTCTAATTGTCACATTTCTCCTTTAGGATTTCTGGTTGTCTCTTCTTTTCGTCCTCCAACGAGAAGATTTCAGATCCTAAGTGAGATGCTATTATATATCTATTAGAGTAATTAATACCAGCTAAAATTTTAGAAATTAAATGTTACTTAGTTGCCAGCAAAGCAAGAAATCCACTGATCATAATTTCTCCACTTAAAACTGCAATGTACAGTCACTTGAATTCCAAAATCTGAGCATGACATGTGTTCCTGTATCATGAGGGCAAGAAAATCCTTATTAATCCGGACCAGAAAAGCAGAATGATGCTGAACAGCAAAGGGCAGGAACAGACAGATGGGCATTGGCTGATTGGTACTCTGAGCAGAAAAAAATGTAATGCATTTCCAGACTGTATACTTGTGGGTAGAATAAACAAGATGTTAATTTTGACAAAAATATTGTCTGGTAAAGAACTGCGGCAGATCCTAGTAGAGACAAGGCAGAGTATTTGAACTAGTCTCCTAATTTCTCTGTTTAGGAACTGATAAGATAAAGTCTCATAATGGACCAAACACTTCACCAAAATATATGAAAAGAGGTACTTGAATGGTACACATTAATTTGTTTGAAAAGTTTGGCCTTTTTAAAACACTCTGTATAACAATGCGCAAAATATTCTTTCCGAGAAATGATTTCAGATTTCTGGGGGTAAGAGAAATTTAATTTTCATTAAGAGTTTGTGCACATTCTTTGCAGACTTGTCTTCTCTACCCAGTCTCCTTCCTGTTGTACTAGGTAGAGAAGACAGAGCCCTGACCTCAACAGTAGTGGATTAAGCAGTCCATGTGGATGTGTTACATCATACGACACATAAGTAAGTATCTTACTAATCAAGGACTATAGGGGAGTAAAATAAGGTTCTTAGCTCTCTTGAGATATTAGGCCCATGTATCTACAGTCTTCCTAAAAAACAAACAAACCACATACTTACCAAAAACATTTTCACTGAGATAAAGAGATTTCATTGCTTACACTTGCATATCAGCCTAGAATATCCGGGTTTTTGAGGGAAAAACAAAAGGTTATTTGGGTTGATCATAAGGGAATTGAGGTACTTCAGTTGAATGAGTTATGATTCTTCAAATTATAATTTACAACAACCACAACAGGGTAAGAGCCAAAATACCAGCACATGCCCCATGGTCAGTGCTATGGAATTATCTATTCATGTGACTCACTCCAAGTAATGGTTAATTCCTTGCTTATTCTTAAGTTGAGAAACAAGAGTTCTTTGAGTTAGTGGGATCTCTACCATATCCCTACATAATTCAGCTGGCACACCTGGAAGGCATGGTCACATCTGCTTCAAGATGGGGAGATAGAATGGGACTTCTAACAAATCCCAGTCAAACAGGATGGGACTGAAAGCTGTGTTACGGGAAAACAAACGGGCTGGTGATGATCCCAAGACAGGCACAGTAGTCAAATGATAAACTAAATCTGCCATGATGCAGTGCATAACTGCCTCTGGAGCATTTGAGCAGATTATACAAAGACATAAAGGGCTTCTTAAATTTAAAATTAAGGAAAGATATATATATATATATTTAAAAGAGTGTCACACTGCTAAGTGTTGGTTAGCACAAATGTGACAGATTGAGATCACTAGGAGTCATACATTCCACATACTATACAAAAACTGATGACAGCCATAATGCCAGCTTTACAGGGACATTTTTCAGATGCTGTGAATGGGTAGTTGTTACCTTTAAATCCCTGAATATAAGAAACCGGAAACATGGGATTTCTTCAGTACCAGGTAGCAAGGATATTTTCTTCCCTCAGTGATCCAGAACTAGTAGCCCCTTTTTCTTTTCTAATGATTCTGAATATAAAGGTGGTAGGCCCTGAAATAATGAGCTGACAGAGCATTTTTGTCCCGTCTGATGACCCCCTACATCCCATCAGATGAATTAAACAAATGCTGCACTGGCATACTGCTGGACAGGGCCACTTGTCACATGGTTTAGAACACTGAGAAGAACCTGGTCTATGCAAGAGTTAGATCAGACTGTCAACAGTTGGATGTATATCCTGCAGTACGTATGGCAGTGCCTAGCAAACATCAGAATAGGATGAAGTGGAGAGGAGAGCTGCAGTTCTCACAATATGCAGAAAATTAGAGTGTCATGACATGTACACAGCAGCAGATTTCTGCACTAGAGTCTGTATTTTGTGCTGTTCTCAAATATACACGTTAGAACGTATTACATACATATTAGAACTTAACATTAGAACTTAAGGGTTTAAACAAACGTTGCCCACATCTAAAACAATCAGCAACATTCCTTTTAGAATGAAAGAAAACTTTATAAAAACATCTTCCTGAAGCATATTCTTCCCAAAACCTTGGTGGTCTGAAAAGAGAGGAAGTGTGAGACATCCTTCCCATGAACACATGCCAGTGAAGTGGGCCTTTTGTGTATAATACACATAGGCAAAAGTGACAGGTGATTGTGCCTAGCAATATCACATCATAGTAGGTCTGCATTAAATGAATCTGAGGTTTACAGGAGTAAAAAGGAGAGTATGTGTTTCAGTTTCTTATTAGCAATGGAAGCATGCAAGATTGTGAATGGACAACGGATTACATACATAGAGAGCAGACTACATGCTGAGCTTTTCCAAATCTCTCTCTTCCCCATGTGCTCTCCTCACAGAAATTCATTTTGAAGAATTTAGAGATAGGCATATCATGCACAGTTTTTGGAGAATGAAATTTTTCATCTTTGACCTTCATAAGAGGTACACTGGCAAAAGTAAAATTAAATTTCTACAATACTCATCATCCGAGATGCTCTCACATGGTCACACAAACCAAAGAGGACTTCTCTCATCATGAAGCAAATTCAAAATCCAGTGGGAACTCTGCATTTACATTTTCTCACTACTCTTATAAGAAATAAATAAGCCTTTGACCAAATGTAAATCACCAAAGATATTAACATAATTATTAATAAAAATAATAAATAATCAAGGAGTTTGGCTATTCAAAAGCTCTTGTGCTTGAAAGAAATTACAGCACAGATGGCACAAAACAAAGAGCTCATTCCTGCTCCAATTAAAAGCTGAACTCTTGACTCACATAACTGCAGACAGAATCACTCCCAGGTACGTTGACAGAAGATTATTTTCAGCTCATATGGATTTTTGAAGCACTTGGTATAGCACAGTCACGTATCTGACTTTCACAGCTGAACTGGAAATGCTGTCTCTTCTTGATTATGACAGTATTTCTCCTGCATCTTCACAGAAGTGTACACAAAATTAAAGTCAAGTAATTTATGGAAACCAGACAACCTTTTAGTGCTTTCACATTTCAATGAGGCAGGACATTTTAAAATGAGAAAACAGATAAGTATAATGTGTTTGATCCATCAAAGCGTTTTTTGCTTTAGTGGGTGCTCACATGTATTTGCTGGGATTTATTTCTATTTAAAGAAAGGCCACAATCTACTGTTTACATGCAGAAAAGGAAATGCAGTGGGGAAAAAGCTGTTATTTTACCATTAGTGCTAGAGAAAAAGTTGAAAGGCAACTTGCAGCACCAGTAGTTCTTCGCTCATAAAATGCAATGTATGTAGTATTGTTTTAACATCATGTCACATTTTCTAGGATTAGAGATAGTCAGAGGCAGTTCCTAAAGCAGCAGATTGCTAAAGGGCAAGATGGAACAAGAAGGGGTGAAAAATGGCAATGCTCTCACTGCTTCCTTTGCCAGTAACAGAGTCCTGAAAATCAGGTTGGCTCCTGCTGCTGCTGCTGCCGGTGTTACAGACCATCTGGAACTGTGGTGGGAGCTGTTACTCCCAGCAACAGCAAAAGCTCACCCTTCCCCAGCAAGAAGCTGCAGCTGCTTCTCTCCTGCCCTATTCCTATCCTTTCCCAGCTGTAGCAACTTTTCAAATCTGCTTTCAGTGCAAAGAAGCTAGATTTGATGTTTGCCATAAAGAAATACAAATAAAAGTCTGAAAAACATTTACTACAGCACAGCCCTAAATGGAGAAGCTGACCGTTTAAGACTGATCAATATCTTTTTTTTTAATTCCAGAATAAGGACTTTTGCAATGGCAAAATGGAAAATGGTACCATGAATTCTTGGCATAAAACCATGCTGATGAACACAAAAGTATATTTACATGCAGAGAATTTTTAATTTATCTGTTTTTCCATAGTTTAGAATACTTAGATCTGACATGAAAAGCATTAGACACACAAACTATATACGATTTATACTTATGATAAATTATAAACCTTGTGGAAAGTGCTGGATTGACAGTCCTAGTAGTACATAGTCCCAGTGAACAGTTTTCTCCTACAGTTTCTAGCTGTATCCTTCAACCCTGACCAAAGTGGAGGGTCATCTTGTGATGAAAATAATAAGCTTTCCATGGTGCATTTTGTCACATCAAACACAAACAGTACTGCACTGCCCTCTGTGATAACAGTTCTGTGTTGTATACATGCAGCTGTGGGGAATACATTTATTAAAAATGCTTAAATAAGATCACATGACTACTTCTTAGCTGAGCAGGATTTAAACTGCTGTCCCAGAAATGAAGTTATTTTATTGCAACAGCAGTAGCTTTTAGTGTGGCTTCTGATATGTCATACAGAAAGAGCCTCTGTCCTGAGGTTATAAACTATATGAAGAAAATGCAACAGGTGGATTAAAATAGCATGACCAGTAAACCAGAATAAAAAGGATTGGGATAAAATACATCAGTTGCCCATCCTCTGTGTCATTCAGGCTTCTCTCTAACATATAAGCTTATCTTTCAGTAACTTTCTCATGATACATGTAAGGCATTTGCAATTTTGAAATTTGTTCTGAAGTATTTGGAGGGATTCCATCTTACTTGTTAATGGTAAAGGAAAGGAGATATTTCACATCATGATGCCAGATGAAGGCGTTGCTTTTAAGAAATTAACCAGGTTGCACTCAGGCATCTGAGAACCTCTTCATTCTGCTATTTGTGCTAAGCTGCGGATCTTCAGCACCTCCTTTTCATAACCTCCAGAACACTAAAAATCAAAAAGCAAAGAAAAATATTATATTTTTTTACATACCTTGATTTGCAGCCTTAAACTGCAGTGGAATACTAGAGCATTACGTTTGCTTAACTAGCATTTTTAACTTAAGCCCATCAGTGCTCTTGTTAAATCTTATTATGTTAAAATTATAAAATTCAATAAAATTTAATGGCAACATTCATTCAGCTGGAGGTTATCACAGCACTTGTGGAATCAAATCTTATCAGTGGACTGAACAAGCAAAATACAGATTAATACCAACAACATGCTCTAAAAAAATGCACAAATTGATTGGTGTTACATGGAATTTTAAATATACTTTTGTTAAGGCTGGCCTTATAGTAAAGATAAGGTACTTTACTCTTGATTAGAGTCTGAGATAGGCTAACAGAGTTACAAGACACCTCTGCAATACAAATAAAGTTATTCAGAAATTGTTACCTCCATTTTCAAAGCAGAGAGGAGGTCTCAGTCCTTCATCCTCCCATGTTACTGCTAAGCCATCACTATTACATGTGATATAAGTCTCTGTTATAAAGATCCCTCCAACTGAAAACATAACTTACCATAGGCTTAAGATTCATGGATTTAGAAAGGCATGTGCAAGTGTGAACAAAGCACACAACCAGATGCTGAAGCTGCTCAGACTGGGAGCACCTGAAAAGCAGAATGCTTTATGCTTTACTGTCACAACATACTTCAGACTCGTGCTATCCTACCTAAGCCAGCCCAAAGAGGTGTAGCAAATTACAGCATTTCAGTCCTCCTATTTACATTTAGCAGCTCAAAAGATGACAACATTTGGAATGGTCAACTTCTATGCATGGCTCCAAAGAGAAGCATTTCATAGGGGTAGTATGGAATAATAGATATAGTAGGAATAATGAATGAGAAACTCAAGAACTCAGGTGATCTTTGCCCAGAAAACTCCTCCTTGTGGCATATCTACACAAAAATTGTGCCACGTGCACGAGAGATGTGGGCTGACAGCACAGGTCAGCTGCTTCCAGTAAGATCTGCTTTAATTTCAGCAAGGGCATGGTAGCAATTTAGTCCCCCTTACTCCTCTTTTAGCACCTCAGCATTCCTCTCTTTTCTTCAACATCTTATCTCTTGCTTGTAGTAGTGGAAGGAATAATATTTGCTGTCTGATAGTGATAATTTCTCAATGCTGGCTTGACTGTATGTGAACTATCACTAACTGTAAAACATCCATATATACTAAGCAGCATAACTTGCCCAGTATAATTTGCAATATGAAGAAGTAATAAGTTAAACCACTGGAGCCTAGGCTTTTTTCCCAAACAGGATGGGAACAGCAGGGAAAAGCAGGGCCCTAGGTCCAGTTTGGATAAAGGTGCTGATCCGCCCCAGTGCTACCTCCTTTCTCATTTGCAGCTCAGCCAACCAGGGCCCCGCTCTAAACTTTTAAGGCAAAGAATATGCGAAAGAAGAACTGGGGAAAGCTCACTGTTTCAGCCTATCTTTTACACAAGCTATTGCTTAGCACAGTGTCACCCACTAGCCAGCTGACAGTTTTCCTTCATTATGCTGTGGGTAAATCCAGCAACACCCTTGTAATTCCTCTTGGTCAGGCACATGATTGGTAGTAGGAGTTAAAGCTGATTACAAAATTCACTCTAGCCCTCCTTCACAATACAGGTGTGATCCTGATGGGTGCTGAGATGCACGCTGCACTGATGCACCAGCACCCTCCCCTCTAAGCAGAAGTGGGAAGTGGCTGTACTCACCACCTGGAGCTGGGGGTTGCCTCGACAGCGGTATGCAAGCTGTGGTGGGTGCCTCTGGGCTGTTGGTCCTGGCTCCATCCAGTGCCAGCTGAAGGCTCTGGAGCTGTGATGCACTCAGATGCTCACGCTGTGATTCTGTAACCATAGCAGCATTTTCAGGGCCCAGGTTTGCTATTTGTTCTGATGACAATGCCTGGGAGTGAAAAAGCCAGAAAAAATCATTTAGACTGCCAATTACAGACAGGTAAGGAATGAGGAGAAATAGCCTTCAACATTGTATTTCTATAGGAAAACTCAATAAAGCTTAGAAAAAGCTCTTTGTTAATTTATTTCACTGGCCATTTGCTGCTTGGCTGTAACAGCCTGAGAAGCTTTCTTTGATAACACTATATTGGACACTGCTTCAATATGTAAAAGGAGTTTCATTTTCCAGTCACTTTTCTGACTTGTGCAAAGACAAATGACACTGTGCCTCTTCTTGCTTTTTTGTGTATTTCCTCTTACATCTGCTCCCAAGCAACCTCTCTTGCATCTATATTTAACCCTTGATTGGAGGTATCAGTAGGGAAAGCAGTACGTTGAAAAATAATATGTTTTAATCTCATTATTGTTTCCTCTTTTAGACTGCAAATCCTCCAAGTTTGGACATACTGAAGTTTGTGTTTAAAAATGAATATGGAAATTTTAATCTTACAGTACTTATGTTACACAGAAATTAACCTGCCATGTATTGGCCATGCTGGATGGCTTCTATTCCAGCTAACAATCTGCAGTCCCAAGAGTTGCAGCCTTCCTGCACAACATGCCATCTCTGCAGCAACAGTTCTGCATCCAGGTTCTACGTTACAAAGGATTATATTTTCCCCTTCCAGGTAGGTCAGACCACAGAACAAATCCTTCCTAATTTTTCATTGTCTAGCAAATGATATGCTCTTTTAAACCTCATAAACTCATGTAAATGCCTGTCATCCAGAAATGCTGAAACGAGCCACTTTTAAACTAAATTAAGGTCCATTATACAATGTAATTTTTCAAAAATCAAAATCTGAATAATGTATGTAGCACTAAAATAGCATAAAAGCTATGTAAACAAATTCTGCTTTGAGTCTTTCAAATACAGCAAAATGTTCTGGGAAGATCCCCTGTTGTTTTCTAAGCGCATTTTGTATTATCATTACCACTCTTACTAACAAGAAAATATGCTCTTCGCAAGAAATTCTGTAGGATGCCATAGACCTTCACTTTCGCCTGTGTTCCAGACAGACAGTTTGGCTAAGAACATCTCAAGCTTATCTAAACTATCGGTGGTACTGTGCAAAACAGTAGTTGTTCAAGGAGTTATTCTCATTTATGGATCCTGACACAGTTAACTATCTGTTTAGCTCATCTGGCCATAAATACATCATTTGACTGAGCATCTGAAAGAGACCAGACTAGGCAGAATATTAATCTTGTCATTGAGTAAAATAAAGTCTGGGCCGATGACCTCAAGATCCACGTTCTAATTTCTGGTCCACATTCAGAATGGCTGTAATTAGATGTAATTCCTTTCTGATCTGTATCTGCTTGTACAATCTGTTCCTCAGAGCTAACACAGGGAAACGTTGCCAGATTTCAGGATAATAAAAAGGCTCTTACCTAAGTCAGCACAGAAATCTGTAGTTGTGATAGCATCTCTGCAAATGTTAATAAACAGAGAAGAAAACTCAGATCTGAATACAGTGCGAAAAGAAAGAGTCCCTTCTGTGCTTTCTGACCCCAGGTCTTTGCTTTTTCTCTGATATGCATTCCGAGGAAAAAACAAAGCTTGCTTAACATGTTTTATGCTCATCACAAGTACAGATAACACAGTTTAAAGTTAATGTTTTAGATCCCTGACTGTCTCTCAAACCATAGAAAAAATTCTTACTGAAACCTCAAACCAGTTCTGCAGTTTATTTATACCAGAATTAAAACAATAAAAATTCAATTACTTCTTCACTAATAAAGCTCTTACTTGGAAAATTTCAGCAGGTATACTTCTTATTGCTATTGGCTGGAAATACGGCATCAGGTTTTTATCAAAAGCTTTTAATTCATCCTCACTCAATCCACCTGCAAAGGTAATATGTTTTTTTTTATTAGATTGACTTTTAGGGTAACACTTGTGCAAAATATCTAATAAATGTATTTCTTCCATATGTTTCATTGAGGAATACTGGTTCTTAATTTGTTGTTCCTTACATTGTGCTCAAACATTACAAGTCCTTAGCCATTGGTATGGAGCATACTCTATCTGAAGGACCACTAAATAATTCTTGTGCTTGTAAAAGAGACAGTTGAGGGGAGATATGATAAAAATCTATCAAGTCATAAGCAGTGTCATTAGAGAATGCTTCTTCATAGCCTCTTCTAAACCAGGAAGATTTAGGGAGCATTAAGTGAAATTATTGGAAGGCTTTAAAAAAAGCGCAGCAGGAGGTACCTTATGGAGACTACCACAAACCTTTCCTTAGTGCTTAGAAATTGCTGAATGCCCATCCCAGCAGGGTGACTCCTCTCTGGAAAAAATTCATTTTGCCAGTCTAGAAAAACACACCGTTACATGAACCTTTCACTCAACACTTAATAACACTGCCTCACAACTATCACCATCTGCAGTCTGAAATTTGTTACCTGCTATAGTACCAATTTCCTGTAATACAGAGCCATTCCAGCTGGTCGCAGTTCCAAACACAGACTCTGTTATCTTCTTAAACTGCCTCAGAACAGGGGTGCTACACAGCAAGAGGCCAATTCTTGCAACAGCAGCACTGCAAAAGACAAGGTTAACGTGAAATGCTGCAATTGCATGCAATACTGAAAGTGCCTGGAATATAGTCTGCAGTAGCAAGAATGTAAACCCATTTCTGAGTTAAAATATATGTACAAACGTTGCAAGCAAATGTTGAATGCTTGGAGCAAAAACCCAGGTTTTACAGAATCATAGAGTTCGGAAGGGACCTCTGGAGATCATCTAGTCCAGCCCCTTGCTAAAGCAGGTTCCCTACAGTAGGTTGCAAGGTCTCTGAGTGCATTACTTGAGTGGTGGGATACAAATGGCAAATTTAAAATGACTGTATTTTAAACAGCCGCTGTATGCTTTCTGTAACAGCTACTGCCTTTCTTAAAGCATTTAGAATGCAAACAAAAAGAGCCATTTAGGCTCTGTAAATCTTCAAGGAAAACAAGTTTGCATTTTATCAGTAGAGATATTAACAATTCTGTTATATTTCAAATGCAGTACCTGAATTCAGCTGTCCTTATGGACATGATTTCTGTGGAGTTCAGAGCACAGAGAATAGCTCCCAATCCAACTAAATCAAAGCTTTTTAGTGTACTCATTGTTTGCCCAGAATCTTCTAGAAAACTTTGCAAAATAGATCTTGCCTGCAGAAATAAGATAAAAGGTGTGAATGGAGTAAATATAATTGAAGATTTTGTTACCAGCAGCCCAAATTCTTACTGGAAGATACAGAGTGTTACAGACGGACCATATGTAATCCTGAGATTTCCAGTGTAATTAATAGGAGTTCTGTCATAGCCTTCAGAAGGAGTGCTGGCACCACCTATTTGAGGTACTTAAGCAGAGCATTTTATACAGCCATTTCCCAAATGCAAGCCAGTTAAAAGAATTCAGTATGTCTTCTCTTGGTCACAAGTAACTACCTCCCTACAAGAAACAGGCATTGAAGTGCCTGACAGAGCTGCCAAATTCAGTTAAATTGCTAGAAAGAAATGCAAATTAATTAATGGGATTGATATGAATTATTTAGGTTTTCTAATATCAGGTTGTCTTGCCTTATATAACTGTCACTTTCTCTCAATTTAATATGAAAATCTATTGATGTAATCAGAAGTTATTCAAAGAAAGGAAGATGAAAGGAACATAGCATCCAAATGGCATACCTGCTATCAGCTTAGGTTTCCAGGGCCATGAATGCTAGGGCTGGGGTGTACACTACCTGTTCAGTGATTACTCTCAGTGAGGAAAGGCCTGCATCTTCCATCAGCAGCATCTCTTCACCAGTGTGAGAGGAGCTGCTGACCTCTTTTATTACTTGGTAGGCAAGAGCTAAGGAATACTGGTCACCACCAGAATTAATACTGTTTGACCACAATTATTACAATTAATAGCGAATGACATCCTCTTGGCCATCTCATTGGCCTGGCAGACATCAGTGCTGACCTACCAGTTCTCATTTGTGGTGATCTCAGCTGAAGGCGACCCGCAGGCAGTGGTAGGGGTTGCTATATTGGTTTCCTAGACAATCCCAGGACTTTAATCCCAAAGGATATATTCAGTGGTAAATTCAGTAACATGCTTACCTGGGCAAGAGTCCATTCTGCTTGTTGACTGAGGACAGAAATGGTGTCAATTGAATGTAAATCTAGCTCTTCAATTTCATTTTCAGTGAGTGCCAGTGCAATACGTCCCAGAGAAACAATATGGTAGCTCTTCCAGCCTAGCAGCGACCCCCAAACCTTTAGAACAGATTCATTAATTTATAACATCTGTTAAATCATTGTGAATCTTTCTCTAGGTATGCCATTCCTCAAACACTTCTTTTTAAAAGTCCCAATACCTGATATATGCTTCTTCACACACAAAAGGCAGAGATTAGATATTGTGAGGGTAGGTACGGAAGTAATAATGGTTACTTTATCTAAAATATCAAAATCAATGTACTCATATTGATGAGTTCCTCTTCTAGCTTTATTTGTGGCACAGTTACAGTACAGATTCAAAAACTGTCACAGACCAGCCCCAAGAAAGTTGTAATTTCAGGAAAAGATCTGCCTGAATAAGGAATAATGAATGGCCATCAAGAGCTAAACCTGCAGAGCTCAGAACTATTGACTGCATTTAGTTGGGAATTACAGAAGATGGGAGTCAGTGGTCAGTATCTCAAAGGCCAATTGCCTTTGAAGAGAAAAGACAGTGGATTTTGGCTGATGGAAGTAATTTGAACAAGACAGCTATATGTTGGGAAAAAAAAAAAAAAAAAACGAATTCCCTTGAAAGGTCTCAGACACCTGAGCATCTTTGCCTGATGTCAGTCAGCACAGGAGAGTTTTCTCATATGAGATTGTGTGAACAACTCCATATAGAGAAATGAATGTAAATGCACAGTCCTGGGCTAAGCTGCCCACTCCATGCAAGTATTTTTTCCATTTTCAGAGAGCTGATGTTTGCCGTACAACTCACAGAACACAAAGGGCCACATCTCTGGAGTAAGGTGCTCTTCCCCAGAGTTGGGGGCTGTGTGCTGATTGTGCCACACACACCCTGGAGATGCCCCAGGACTGTGGAGGTGTTCTGTCTCAACTATAACTCTCAGGGTAAGGATTTGTTTAAGACAGTCTTTGCCAGACCCTCACCTTCTGACTGAGTATCCATTAGATCTTTTATGTCAGTTTTACAGTCTCATAAAGAAACAGAAAATAGCCCAAGTCTGGGAAATTTCAGTCTTCTCCAAAGAAAAGACACAGCAAAAAGCATTAGCTCAGTTTAATGCTACTAATTCTCTAGCTTAAGAGATACACAAAACACATACAGTTAAAAATGTTGTGTGCCTGTTTCCTGATATAGGTCATAAAATACAGAATCTGAGCAGTTTCATAAATAGCATTATTCGTGCTGAAGCAATCTCAGACATAATGGTATAAATAACACAGTGTATGAAAACCGAACCTCTCCTTTGTCCTTATTCACCTAGAGACTACAAAACCATACATCTGTTACTATCACGGAGCCTGGAGACCTTCCACTTCCAAGTGAGTTAAGCTGCTTACTTCCATCAAGACCCAATCTGATAACTAGAATTTCTGAATTAGTTTGTAGCCATGAGTAGAATGCAGTTTATTTTAGAGGAAATAAATCAATTTAGGAGAAATCAAATCTGGCTTAATCAAACCTTTAATCATAGATGCTCTTCGGTTAATAATAAAACAGCATCTTCTGCAAGTAATTTCAAAGAGCTGTAGTTCCTTTGCCTGTACTGATTTCTCATGCTTGGTGTTGAGTGTAATAGCATGTTGCATCTGACAGATTAATATACAGTCTGTCCTTGTCTAGCAGTAGTCTGTCGCACCAATACTCACAATGACCAAATATACAAAATTCAGAGCACTACAAATCTGTGCATCTTTGAGTTGAATATAGGAGCATATCAACCTTGCTGACAATTTCTCCAGAGCAGATAACACTCTGCAACCACACTATTATGCTGCACTCTGTAAAATAGTTTCAGTTTCTACCACGTCAGACGAGCATTAGTTTTATCATGCTCTAGAATTATTTTTACTTTTCCTTTTCCCACCCACATGCCTCCATGTTGACAGAGGGAGGCAGACGGACAAATGTATTTGATGCAGTGAGCTGCAGAGACACAGCTGCAGAGTTACAGTCAGACACCTGGCTAGTGCCCCTTCTTTTCACACACCTGTAATTTGGGAGTTTTAAAAGATGTGCTGCCCTGCTAGAAACAACTGCACTTTTGGATTATCTACCCAAAGCTCCACTGCTTTGGCTGCAACTGCCACTGTACAAAGATGCTGTCCAGGCTTACTTAGGCACAGTCTTCAGATCTCCAAGCATCTGCACTTGTCCTACTTGCAGCTAACTGCACTTGTAGACACTTCCTAACCTTGTTCTGTCATAACAATCCAATGGAACCTAAAAATGACTTCTAAAATATTGTATCATTTTGACAGAATGGGATTCAGGAAAAGCTAGCCAGGGAGAGATGGAGGCAGAGAGGAGACAACTTCCATCAGATACTGGTGACATGAAGCTGGAGACAGCCCGGGCACGCTAACCTCTTCATCTCTGGTTCTTCTGAAACCAAAACAATAGCTATGACTGCATCCTAAGGCTTTTCCTGGCTAAAACACGTCTACTTTGGAACAATACCAGCAAGCAGAAAAAGCAGGTGACCTCCAGGAGGAATGCATCGCCAGTCTTAGCAGTGGGTAAGGTCTGGCTTCTAGGAGCCCACAGCTAACCAAGTCAGCACTGCACAGAGCCCACACACTCTGCTGGTGCTTTGCCCCTAACACAGGATACAGTGCTGGCAGCACCCAACTCTGCCCTATGCTCTGGCACGCTCCACTGGCACTACACACGCCCAAGGCCCAGGGCAGAGACCTGTTGCTTACCCTCCAAAGTATCCTCTCTTTCAGTCAGTTTGGTTTTATTACACTGTAAACTGTATTTAACGTGGATGTAGACACTTGAACGCTCTCAGCTGAATTCTCAGCAGGCTAACCAACAACCTACAGTAAAGATTGTTGGTTTTTTTTTCATTTATAAAAGAAAAGGGAGAAGCAAGCAACTGAAAAGCCACTGAAAAGCAAAACTGCAGCCAGTAGCTCAAAAAACTTGCCTCCTGACTCTAAAACAAAGCAATAATCTTCTCATGTTATTTTTCTAATGAGCAACATATATTCCTGAAGCAGTAGGGATATCAGCATAGCACAGTTACTTTAGAACTGCATAGTTCAGTAGCAGAAAGATCAATTATGGATTAAGTTTTCTTTTACATACAAGACAGTTACCTGCTTGGCTTTTTCCTTCAAGGCCATAAGTTGGGAGTTGTTAAAACCAGAGACAGTCCCAAGAAGTTCCACATTTTTGTCAAAAGTCCCTGCATCCATGCATTTCAGTTCCTGAGCTGACCAATAGACATTTGCTTCTGCTAACTTGATAATTTCATCTGAAGAAGGGGCTCTGGTTCCCAGGCAATCTGAGGGGGGGAAAAAAAAAAAAAAGTCAAATAGTAGGAGTATTTTTCAAAGAGACCAAAATAAAGAAATTTAATAGGAAAATTTAAGAGTTAGCAGGCTCATGGACTACGAATTAACTGCAACCAAGGTAATATTAATTATCTCACAATGAAATAATTTCCTTAAATATTTGCATCATTGATATCTTGGATATAAAACTATAATTTGCCTAGTTTGTGAGGCTTAACTACATTTTTTGTCCTTCAAAGGCAGTGCATGCTGGAAAAGAAAAGTGGTGCGTATTTCAGAGCTGTTACAATACAGGATGCTATAATAAAACTAAAATCTGAAGGCACACAATGCTGAGAGCAGCCGAGATCTTCCAAGTTTTTTTCAAGACCAGTTGCCTAAAGGAATCAAACTCAGATCACTGAGATGGCCTCAGTGGAAGTCTCCATCCAGCTCCAAAGCTGCTCAGAAAAATTAAAATGTATTTATAGATCGTGGCTGAATGAACTCTTCTACATTCAACCAGTTTGTTTCTGAATCCAGTTCAGCAGGAAACTATTGGACACAAGAGATCCCTTCATGCTGAAGTACCCTGACAGAGATATACAGCTTGTAAAACTTGCCTGACATTTAAGCAAGGTGGAGACAGCAACTGGATGTGTCACAGAAGCATGGCGCTTGTTCTCCATGTCAAGCGAGTTGTTAAAATGTCAGGAACGAGAGAAAGAGTCTCACTTACAGCAGAACTGTTTGAACAGTTGACCTGCATTTTAAGATTTGATTTATGGGCAACTTCTGGCCCCATGCATGACCAAATGAGAGATTTTCCACTGTGTGTTTTAACAAATCCTGGTCTTTCTTGGTGTAATCTACCTCTCATTTTGATGGAAAACAGAAATTAGAGTCGTAAGTGCTTGCTTACTGCTCTCACTCTCCTGGCACTAATTTAGGAAAACCTTATTAAACGATTATCTAAACCAAACCTGAAGATATGTAGAGATTATATGGCCATTACCAGTAAAATGCAAGAATTCCACAGATGCTGCATCAGAGCTAAGCTCCCCGAGATAAATAAATTGAAGTGAGGACGTATAAAGTAGATTTGTACTATGAAAGCAGGCAGGAGGGATTTATTTGCATCAAAGGAAGCTGCAGTAGTGGGTAGAACATTGAAAAGACTGAATCTGTTGAGCAAACGAAAACGTTGTTCAGTTTGCACTGTACCAGCTGACGTTCTGCTCTCCCTGTACATGCCTCCTGTGAAGCTGCATTGTTTCACTTTCCCCTTCTGCAAAAGGTCAGCTTTTCTCATCTAAATACTGCTCAGTACAGTTCCTTTCCCCAAATCATAAAAACCTTGCTTTTTTTTCTTGGAAAAATAAAACACTGATTATTTGCAATGCACAAGATACACTGACACAGTTTACAGAGGAAAATACTAATTAGAGTCCTGGCTTTGCTTCCTGTATCTGATGCTTCTTCATTCTTTCTTCTGCTCTACATAATTATATTTAGTTTGATGAAGAACATATTACATAGATAACATATTATAACATCATCTGTTAGTTAAGCGACCTGAATTCTTTTTCCACTACTGCTGCTGCTTTCTGGTAGCATCTCAGACATACAATTCCTGAATTTTCCCTCATATGCTCCAATTTGCCTTAAGCATCACCTTTGTTTTTCCCTTGGTATAGGCACAGATGTATGAACTGTCACTAGCAGTTATTGCTGTTATTACTATTTGCTCACAACCAGTAGGAGATGTTAAATAGCAGGTTGGCATCACGCAGAGCATCCATGTTATCCTAGAGCCATTCTTCTAATACTGCATTTTTTAATAATTTAGAAACTAGCCATAAAACTTCATTCCTTACTGAAACTATGATGTGAGCTATGTGGAGATTATGCTTGGCAACAGAACTTCAACACCATGCTTGAAGAGCAGAAATATTTCTTGTTGGACCAGCACAAACAATTCCTTCATTTTCCATCTTTTAGGCCCATTCCAGCTGCACACTCTGAGTGCAGAGTGAGCAGCCTTGGAACCCTATTATCTTTTGACAAAGGCCATTAGCTTCACTGGCAGGTTTATATTGGCCTTACAATGCAGATGAGACAGCTCTGCAACTGCACTGGATGTGAGCTTGATCAGAGTGTTTGGGATTAGTGGTGTTGTCATCAAGTTCTAGAGAAACATCTGTAAGGACATAAATGTCTTAATAATTAATGATTTGATGGTTTACTACTTCAGAGAAGAGTGAATTTGATCCATATAGCTGGACTCTGATACTCTATTAGCTTGATCCTGCTTTTTTAGAGCATGATAATTTGTAATTACTCCTCTGCTCAATAGAGGTCATGGTTTTGTACAGAGCAGAAATACAGCTCTGTAGAACACTATCTCCTGTATATGAATACAGAATTGTAAGGGATGTCACAGCCATCATCCAGAGTTGCTGTTATATAACTGGGAGGATTTCCATGGAGGCACAGGGGCCTGATGAGAGATTGGACCGTTAGGCAGAACTGATGGGTAGGTTTTCAAAGGCAGTCAGTACCAGCCTCCCTGAAACTGCTGGGTGCTAAATGCTAATCAGTGCTTGCAGAAGCTTCCCCCACAGCAAGGTCATTCTCCACAGCACAAGATGATATGGCCTAAAAATTCTGTCTGGGTGAATTTAAGATATGGGAAGGAATTGTTGTAACAGAATATAGTCAAAGTATGCACCTTCTACAAAGAAAATGATCCATTTGTCACCAGAGATTCTAGTAGATTGATTGTTAATAAATTTTAGATTGTAACAAAACAGAGTGCCACAACCAATGTCAGATTTCAGAACAGCTGAATCAACATATGCTTATGTCTGGCAAAGGATTAACTGTGTGTAATCTTTTGGCACAACAGTAACTTGTCACCTCCACAGCTTTTTAATTCAAGGAGCTTCACTTAGATTGCAAAGAAGCCAAAAAAAGGTAAAAATCAACAAAAAAACCAATTCAAATAATCTTTTCTTCAGTACAAACATTCCAAGAGATACTTAACCTTGCAATGCAGTACTGAAATCAAGTGTTTCAGCAATTGGTCAGTGCATCAAATGACTATGGGCAACAGAGTAAAGACTCACCATGTATGCAAGTAGACTGTTAAATTACTGAGTGCTTTCATTTTTATTGTCCTTGGAATGCATATGATGATCAAGGCAAAACAAAAAGTCAGTTTGAACTGCAAATCTGGCACTCTGACACTGCACAGACATCAGGTAAAACTCACCTGGTGTGGTGAGATGTGGTTCCATGTTGGCAGTGGCATTGAAGACAGATTCAAATACAGTTGATAGAAGCTCTTCAGCTGAAGAAAGTGGTCCGATTGTCTTTGCTATTCGCAAAATGATATCTGGAAACTTCAAAAGGAAGGAAATAAAATAAGACATCTTTCCCTTTTTTAAAATAAATAATTTTGGAGAGAGATTTGTGCAAGCATTTGTGCAGCAAAACGGAAGTTAACAACAGCTCAGCCTCCTTCCACTTTATGCAGATGTTTAGCGAGGTTAACTGAAAGGTTAACAAGCAGGTGTTTAAGAAAAAAAATCAAAGTAAATTCTGAGAGATTCTCCCTCTAACATGCCCTCTCAGACTCTGGCAACATTTGTGCACTGCCTGATAGCTGACTGTGTAGCAACAAATTCCTCTGACTGTAATGTGCAGCACGGAAAATACCTTATTTTCTTTGTTTCAAATTTGTCAAATAAATATAAAAATTGAGGATAGGGACCTGTTCATCTTCAGGGTTTTGTGATGCTTTGGTATTTCTTCTCTGCTCTGCTGGAAACCTCCCTTTCAGTTATGAGGCTGCCCAGGGAGGTGGTGGAGTCACCGACCCTGGAGGTGTTCAAAGAACGTTTGGATGTTGTGTTGAGGGATATGGTTTAATGAGAACCATTGGTGACAGGTGGATGGTTGGACTGGATGATCTTATAGGTCGTTTCCAACCTTAGTGATTCTGTGATTCTGTGATTCTGAGTCCTATTCTATTTGTCAATTATAAGCATTAATTCCTGAGAAAAAGTTGATGACTGTGGTCACATATTTCTGCAGAATAATGAATTCCTCATTCCAGCACAGTTTACCCTTATACATAAGGAGTTGTAAGATTATATGAACTAAAGAGGGCAAAGAAACTACAATACACAGTGCTGAGGTTATTAGTAGTTGTTATGTGTGCTAAACTGGCCCTTGGGCAAAGGCCACAAGAGTAAATGCTGATCTGATCAATGTGAGCCCATTATTAACAGGATAAGAAACATAACTTTTCTAGTTGAAAGGCAGAGGAATGGGGGAAATAAATATTTTTAGAACTGTATTCTGTGTAGCATTGTGTCTGCATAATTTTAAACACAGCATGTTTTTTTCTACATGACACTGTGCAATTATCACTGTATATGTGCAAATAATTGCCTACAATAGAGAAGAAACCTCAGAAATTCTGATAAAGTCAAAAACATGTAAGTGGATAAAAGCATGGTTACTTGCCAAAATTATTATTTACCTAGTTTAACATTCAGGTTACATAATCTAGGCTGCTCTAGCATTCATAAACTCAAATTCAAACGTAATGTTTAATACTTAAACATTAAAATAAGAACATACCTTTTCAGCAAGGACATTTAGTTCTCCTTTTGACAACTGAGCTATGAATGGTCCAACATCTAATGTTGTTTCAGCTGTCCAGTTCTTCGGAGAGCTGAAAAAAGTATTTTTGAAAATTTTATTAATGAAGAATGCTTGCAGTCAAAATCACACTGAAACTTCAGAGTTTTTCTTATACTGCATCATATAGTAAAGACAGATGATCCTACATCAGTGTGATGATTCATGCATATTGAGCAACCTGGTCAGTGGGAGGTATCCCTGCCTACAGCACGGAGGTTGGAACTGGATGATCTTAAAGATCCCTTCCAACTTAAACCACTCTATGATTCTGTAACATCAGACTGCATTTTCTCATCTCTCTCAGACATGTGGAGCAGTAGTGGAATTCTCAGGACATACAGAGAAAGCCTTCAAACATTGCTTTGCCCTCTCTCTCCCTCAATGTTTGTAACAGTCTTAGCACTACAGCGTCCAAACAAGGAGAAACAGTTCTTTTCAGAGCAATTAAAGTTTTCCATTTTCTATCAGATTCATACTGCAATAATATTCTGCTAAATGGAAACCAAATAAGAACCATCGTAACCAAAACTGAAACCATCCTTTTCCCAAATCCCTTATCCTAAGGATCACCTTGGCTAATAGGCAGGCAACACTTACAAGTACTTGCTTCTCTAAGTTAAAACAAAACCAAATCAAAACAACAAACAAAAAATATATTGCAATATTGAACCATTTGCATGTTTACATGCAGTTTTTTCATTGTTGTTGGGCAACTGTAGCTTTCCCTAATGAAAATGGGAGCTGGGGCGTTCAACGTTTCTGACAAATAGGCCCATGAACACCTAGGAAAAATGGACAATTTCCCTCTCATTCTATAGAGATCAAATTCACTAAACAAATCAGGAGGGTAACTCAATCTTTTCAAAATGAAGGGACAGAAACAAGAAACAGATGATGACACTGAAAAATTAAATAAGTACCTTATTAGCTCCCTGTTCAGCTGTCAGAGCTACCTCCTTCATCTGTAAGATCCAAGAGTAGATGAAGGCAGCTCTAACACTTTGGAGAGCCAGGTCTAATGACACCTAAGCCATTTCTGTATTAGAAATCCTTTCTATGATAGTTACTATAGCTCCTGAAATAACATGCTAAATTATTCAAAGAAATATGTAAGAATTTCAGTTCTGAGTGATGCAGGGTTTTTCAAAATATATGTTGCTTAGCACTGCGCTTATTTGGGCTGTTTGACACAAAACTGACAAATGTTAGCCAACCTGTTTGGGGGTTAACTTAAGACAGCACTTGGATAAATAATTTTCAGCATGGAAAATTCTGCAGAAGGTAGTTGTATAACCAGCCTGTTAGAAGTCTGTGTTCTCTTAGAAAACTTTGTTGCATTTATTGCCCTGCTACGAGAACATCTGACTAGACATTTATTATATTTATAATAAAGTGAAGTATTATTGACCACAGTGTATCATTATTCATCATACAAATGAATCTGTATCAAGATTGATGCAGGGACAGCATCTATTGGAAAATACAGCGACAGCATCCCCAGAAAAGTCCTGACAACTAGGAGAAAGCTGAATGAGCACCCAGTGACAGACTTTGGGACTAAAGGGATGCATAGAAACTAAGTGGTTAGTCTCAGCCTTCACAAGCAAGATATCTCTAAGAGAGCATGCAAAAGAGAAACTTCACATTCTTGCCAGAGGACAGCTTTGCTTTTTTTGCATGACTGATACAGCAATGTAGTTCAAACCAGACTCCTAATCTGAGTCATTAACGATATCTAACACACTCTCTCCTTTGTTGCTTCAATATATCCCCCTGCTTCTTCATCTGGCTCTCTTCAGTTGCCACAGGTGCCTGCAGTCATCTTTTTCTTCTCAAACCAGTGCACAAGTGTGAGAATTCTTCAGCTCCCTGTGCCATACTTCACCAGTAACCCCCAGCTCTTACTACACCAGAGATTCCTACTGCCTGCCCTTCCTCAACCATTATGCTTTCTCTCTTTTTTCCTCCAGGATTTAACTTGTCCAGGGTGTCCCTTGGGCTGTAGTTTGTTCTGCAGTTATCACATTACACACTTAAACAGAAATGTCATTCTAGTAAACAGAGAGCACTGCCTTAACTGTCACAGAAGCAAGGTACTATACCTAATACCTTACCCATATAACTCAAGGAGCTTGTATTTAATTTCAGTCTTCTGCTCATGGCTGAGCTGTCGACAGAGTTTGAATTGATGAAGGGCTGTTGCCATTGCCTTCAGGGACATTCTGCCATGTAGAAAAGCTGGAGGTAAGTGGCAGATTAGATTTCCAAGTAGGTCAACATCATATTCATCAGCAATGGAGCCATTCTGAAACAAGAATTTACTTTGTTGACTGAGCTAATCTTGGCTCTTGTCCTGTATCACTCAGCTGCATCACAACACATTTAAGCTTGGTGACCCTTTAAGGAACAAAGACTCTATAGTTTGCATCAGCAACTTAATCTACAGTTTCTATTGAAGCCAGATTATACTTCTTGCTCTTACCACAACTGGTGATATTTAGTAAGCATTTGTTAAGCTCTAGTGCATTCTTTATTTCATATTGAACCACACATAAAAAATAATGTAAAATGCCTGCCACAGGCTCCAGGTGACCATTCAGCACGTACAGAATCAGTGCAGTTCTGCTTGCCAGGAGAGTCCTCCAATGGCTCTGAGGGGCCAGAAACTCTTGTTACCACAAAACTTCACAGAGTTTCTCTAGTCAAAAGACGAGGGCAGGGCTGGTTCATGTGCACAAGGACATGAATACTCAAAGCTGCATCAAAAACTAGCTTTCCTTAAAAAAAAATGAGCAGAAATCACAAAATCTTCCCAGTACAACTGTCTGTGCCACATGCAGGTCTGAAGGAGTGGCAATTGTTGGAGCAAGAGGGAATAATTTCAGCTGCAAATGGGTCAGCAGGGTCAGGCTATTCCAGCCACTTCACTGCGGTCAAAGATATTTCCTGAGAATATTTTTTAATGCACACAGAGGCAAAGAAAAATGTTTCCTTAGGCAGATAACAACAAAATCAAAACAGTGCATGAAGAAAATATAAGAATACAAACAGGTAAGACAAAAAACTTATGCAAACGGTGACTGGCATCTCTGTATGAAATGCAGTGCAAGCAGAACCACAGGATGGTTGAGTCTCGATGAGCTTTAGAGATCGCCTGGTCCAAACTCTGGGCTCAGTGCAAGCCAGCAACAGCCAGTTGCCTGCGGCCTCATTGGGTTTTGCACATCTCCAAGCATGGAGACTCCCCATGAGCAACCTGTCCCAGTGTTAAAAAACCCTCACAGTAACAGAAGCCTTTTCTTTATATTTACTTGCGATTTCCCATATTTCAGTTTGTGCTCCTGTAATCTTATATTGGTAAGATCCCACCTGAGCCTTCTCTTCTCCAGGAGAACAAATTACAGACAGAGGCATTATTTTGATCTACATGAAAAATACATGAACTCTCTATGTTGATCTATAACAAATCCTCACTGCAGAGCTGTTTCAAAAGCAACTCTGGGTAGCTCTGGCATAATAGGGATCTTTGAACTCTTACAGACACCAGGCTTCTGTTAGGAATAAATTAGGAGTTTGGTAAAACTGCATCACTGCCTATACATAAGTACAATCCAGAAAACCACACATTGTTTGCTGTACTTTAAACAAAGACAATAACTGAGTCTTAGGATTCATCTCTACTGGTATTTCCAATGAGTTACGTTTGTAATTTTTAAAAAAATATTTAAATTAAATGTGCATTTTTTCCAGTATTTCTAGGCAGCAAACCTAATTTGGAACCCTGTACAAAGGAGTAAGCACAGTTTATCCTAAGCAAGAAAAGCATCTTTGTTGAAATATGAATATTTTTGGAGTTTCTTTAAGTGACCCTACAGTCTTAAATTGCTGCTGCTAGTGATGGTGAAGAAATTGCCATGCTGTGTTACTGCCTATTGGTTTGCCAGGGCCATCAGCTACAGTTTCACTGCACCAACACAGAGCAGGAGAGCCACTATCTCCACCTGATCTCCAGTCTATCTACAGGAGACTGTGAGCATCCTTGTGTACCTGGAGACTACAAGCAGGCAGCATGACTTTGTGATTGACCATATGACAATAAACAAAGCGAAAGCTAATCACACACTCTCACTGAGTTTGGAATTTTCAGCAGGTTCTGTGCAACTCCCCCTCCACCACTGACCCACCTAACCGTGCCTACCAAGCATTCCTGCACTTTCTGCAGCACAGTTTCTTTTTTGTGAAAGCTTGGACTCAAGAGGTCCATCTCAGTCTTCCCAAGGCTTTCAACGAAAGGGAGACACAGAGGGCCTGAAATGTACTCCAGGTACTCAATCCTGCAAAAGAATTAGAATGGTCTCAGAATACAGACCTGACCATCAGATGCCAATATCCACGCCCATAACATATGTGGAGACAGAAAATCTCAGAGATGAGTCTGAACTGCAAAAATTATAAATTGTAGTTTATAAAAAAAAATGCTCAGAAGAACAACTCAAAATGTGCCGCTACAGATGTGGTAACTTAAGATACAGTAAGATGCAACTTACGGAAGCACCAAGAAGAAGAAGGGAGGAATAGATGCATTGGAGACTTTCCAAAACTTCCAAGCCAAACAATTAACCTAAAAGCAACAAAAATTAAGATCTTAAGCATTTGTTATTTTTGAGGAAAAATGGAAATACAGCTTGTAAATTAGCATATAGAAAACTGTGTGTGTTATCTTCAGTAGTTTAGAGTTTACTTTCTGCAGAAATCAGAGATGAAACATTCTATGTTTGGGCACATGAGAGTGCTAGTATTTTTCCAAAAGCTATTCATACATTTCCAAAAAGATTACTTACAGATTAGCAAGTTGGAATGACTATAAAAACTTCTTGCAATTCTTAAATGCCAAATGAAATTGCCAAAATGAAGTATGATAATGAACAAATTAATGCATATAAGATTTAAATGAAATATGTTAACAGACAAGTTCACAAGTACAAGATTTGGAAAAAAAATCTGACAAAAGTTTGGATATTGAGCACACTTATGCACACAGTCTTTTTCTGGTTTTACCTGATACGGGGAAAGCAGATGAAGATTATTTTCAAAGATTTTGAAATGGTTTAAAAAAGAGGCTGTGCCCATATTTTCAATCAGCTGACAAGTCACTCCTTTCAGAAGCTGTCCTGTACTGATAGGGAAAGCAAAGTTCAATCTTTTCAGTATTTTTAGCAGAATCTAGTCCTTATTCCCCACAACCAAAGGTTAAGTTTCTATGACTACCTCTCCTTTCTTGTAATCTAAAGGCTATCAAAACTTAAAAATAAATAAACAAACATAAAATAATACAAAACAGCCACATGAAGTTTACCTTAAAGTTGCTCTGGTAACAGAACTAGACTATTATCCATACCTTAGGAGGTCAACAGAAGAACTTTTCTTAGACAGTAATTCATACAGATACAAGGCCTGAAATAAAAGCCACCACATTTAAAGTAAAACTTCAGTAATACAGCTGAAAGATACAACCACCACTGCAAGGTTTCTGTATGTTTAATACTATCAGGAGCTCTAAAGACCATTCCAGTGTCCAGAATGGTCAGCCACAAGGTTTGGTACCCAGTGGTGAACGTACTCTTCGCATCAGTGACCTGCACTGTGGGATGATGTTAAACACATTTCTGGCACGTGGCCATGGAATAATGAAGGTTTGAAGAGAGCTCTGGAGGTAACATGGTCTAACCTTTCATATCTGGACAGAGCCAAAGGACTGGCTGTGTATGCAAGCATCTAGTACACAGTACTGGAAAGAATGCGTCAGAATCTTGAAGATGTTTAAACTGTGCACATTAACACTTTCTTTTTCACAACATTGTCTCAGAAACCTGCCATGGCTCTAAGTGACTGCTGGCTGCTTCCATGAAAACATGTTTGGGGCAGTTCCTTTCTTCTGCCTCTGTTCTTTCAACACATATGTATTACAACACTTTTCCTGTTCTCCCATCATACTCAACTGCAGTGGACTGGAAAATTCATTGTTATTGTTTTTTTCTTTTTACCTGGCTGCTTCTTAGCTCTTTTTCTTTCATCATTGAAGAATTATATCCATTCTCCTTCCATAAATCAGAAAGAGATATTTCTCTAAAGAAAGCTCCTTGTATATCTGTGACCAGTGAAGAAGAATCTGTAGATGAAGCTATCTAAAAAGTGTGAGAGACAAATACATGACACTTCAGAACTGATGCTTAGATTTACAGGATTTATCTTTCTATTCTGTGTAATATTTCTCTGAAGAGTATAAAAGAAAAACATGTCAGGATTAAAAAAGTCTTGGAAGTAAGCTAGAGAGAGCCTTCAAAACACACTTAGTACTAAAAAAAAAAACAACCAACAAAGTACCAGAAATATTAACCATTGAGCTTATTCCAAGTCTTGGTAACATTTTAAATCACACTCTGCATATCTGGTTATTGTGCTTTTGTGCAGAGAGAATCTGCTACACACTGCAGTTTGTAATTACCTTCCTGAGGATCCCCTGCTGTTGTGCAGGAGATAAGTCTGATGAGTACTGGGATGTTGTGCCTCGAATGACCTGAGAAAGCTCTTTCGGGTTCATTCTGTAGAATGACTCAGTGCTAATACCAGTCACCAGTGCACCCATTTGGCTAACATTATAAAATGATAAAACCTGCAGAGATAACAGAGCAAAAAGTCTTCTGGATTGTACATAAAATACTTATTTAAAATCAAACATTACTAAACCAAAACGATTTTTTTTGAGTACTTAATAGCTTTTCTTGCCTAGGGATGCACTTGCTGCAGACATCTTTCAATTCAGACAAAACAGTTCTGGGGAAACTGTCCCATTTATTCCCTGAGGTTCCTTTTTTTGGAAACTTTAGAGGGGACCCCGACTCATTACAGTATATCAGAATATTTAGTTTGGGATCATGCAAATTCAGCTGTGTGGGGCAGTGATACAAACAAAATAACACACAATTGCCAATTGCAAATATGCATTCTCCCAATTACCAGGAGAATTCAGGAATGTTTTTCTTTGATTTAAACAAATTTTTCAGACCACTAACAGTTCTACAAGTCTCACACCAGCCCTAAACCTTTCAAAAATTACAGTTACTGGGAGGAAAGTCTCTGCTTTCAAAAACAGAAGATAAGAAAGCTGTATCAGAGGTACCTTTCCGTAAGAGAGGTATTTACTGGATAAAATCATAACTTGGCTTCTTGCCCACCCAGAGACTTGGTTTAGTGTCGCAATAGCATTATGCACTGCTTCAGGTGACAAAGATTCCAGCTGGCCTGAAGTCAGCCCAACCACAGCATCTGACAGCGATCCAAGGGTATCATTCAATGTCTGGTTCTGCACGGCAATATTCAGGAGCTGAGATTTAAGCTAAAGCAAACAAACAAAAAAAAATAGATGGGAAACAAATCTGCCAAGAACCAACTTCCAATTACTTCAACTGGAGTTTTTGGAATAGACACTGGCAAGCAATTAGTGGCCACACACTTCATTAAATCCCACAGTAGAATGACAGTTGTCAAAGAAATATGGAAGAAACAGAACAAGAAAAGAATGAGTATGGTGAGGAAAAAAAAAAAGAAAAGCTTTTATATTTTGCTTTAGACACTCAAGAACAATTTCATTATTTCTTAGATCCCAGTAATCTTTCACTCTTATCTTTCTGAATTCAAAAAGAAAGTCCTTTCCCAATCCTGACAACACAGTAAGAGGAAATATGAGCACAGTACCCACCTTCTGAACCTTGGCCTGGAAACCTTTTAATTGATTGCATTTAATCATTTGATGAAGTAAAGCCCGGGCCACAGCAGCATCCATCTGTTCCATGTCATCATAAAAGCAAACCAACAAACCTAGCCTATAGGAAGAAATACATTAGCTGGCTTCTGAGATAACAGCTGTCACTCCCAAGAAAGTGAAGAATGGTATGACATACCCTATGTGCTCAAAACTTGAATGATTTGTTTGTCACTAATGCTTTAAAGCAGCATTTCTAAAACTCCACGTGGCCTTAAATTTGGATATGAAGGACATACAATATTCTCTTTATTCATCTAAACTCCACCCAGATTGACTGTGCTGTAAAAAACTTTAAGTTTCACAGTTCTGTTTGACCATGCCTGGATTTTCCCAGCTACCAGATTCCACTGCCTTTGGCAGAACTGGCAGTTATCTCTGCCTGGAAAAGGATAGAGGGCTATTAGGAAGTCTTGAAGTGGCTTCCTGAGTTCTTATCCAGATTTAGCAAATATTTTGTACTCTTATTTCAAATCCTGTTTAGATTTCATTTGTAAGATTAATATGGTGGAGCAGCAGCAAGAGCATTACATTATAGTCACTCTGTAGTTTCAGGCTTAAACAAAGCCTGCCGCATTTCCCATCAAACACAGTTCTTTATCCCTACAACAGGGCCTTGGCTGGATTCAGTGCTGGTTAGGAGGAATGGTGCTGTGGTTCACCGTCTCAGTTGTGCCAGCACAGCACAGGTGTGGCATGCAGCACTATCACAAAGATGGTAAAAATCTGCTTTGTACATAACCTCTGCTTTTAGTTCCTTTAGTCCCTCAGCAACAAGCAGCTTAATGATATAACAACCTACCACTTTAGCAGCCCATCTAAATTCTTGGGACGTCATCAAACTAACACACAAATCAAAGAAACATCTACAACTGCACTTTTATACCAAATAATTACCTCCTGATGCATTATTCCATAACCACCAAGAGCTCTTCATCTCCTCTGGGATTAGCAGCAATGAATAATGCTACTTCTTAAAAGTAAAAATGCATTCAAACAGTCAGAGTGGTTAAAGTGAGTAATATAAAATAAGTGTGTTGTGAAAATGGAATACATTAAGGACTATGGAGCATGGTATTTCTCTCACTGATTAGAACCTGGCACCTCTCATGAGCGGTAAAATCATTTTTAAGATTTTTAACATTGAAACCTAGAGTGTGGGCATAATTCTGTCACTTACATCCCCAACAATCAACAGTACTTCACAGAAGTCAATGAGTTACATTGCAATAATGATAGAAGCTCCAAAGCCACATTCTTCGTTAGTTTAAAACTCTGAAGCATTCTCTGAGGAAAGTACAAATAACTCCAGACAGTGATGTCTTAGGACTAAATACATCCACTTACATGACAGTGTAAATGTAAATGTAGATCATGGTGCTTTCCTGCAGGTAGCTCTTGCTCACTACATATTTATGAATAAAAGCAAACTGCATATGTATATATACATATATGTATTTGTTAAAGTCAGTTCATTGCTGATTTGACAGCCCTAGAAGCACAGTTTTCCTTTTGCACACATAAAGTCACAGGCTCCTAACCATAACTCATCTCTGCTGTGCAAGACTACCTGTAAAGAAGACAGCAGGATGGGCTTTAGACCTCTCCACGTTGTGACCACTCTGGTGATGTTATCAGTTGGACACCTTCTGCAGCCCTGATTGACAAGAGCTAAAATTTTTTCCTTAAGTCCTAACCATAATGTGATTTTCACTTCTCTTTTCTGCAATTCAAACAGCTAACAGGGCTTGTGTCCTGCTCTCCCAATTTGTTTAGCTGCTGTACTATACAGTTTGATGGAGCTTCGATTGGGTCCCACACACACTGCTGTAGTCCTCTTACTACTGACAACTCCTCACTGCAGAGCCAGAGAGGAAGCATCAGCTAATTAGGCACACCTCCAAAATTCATAAAGCGCAGTTCTTCACCGTTGCTAACCAGGGCTGGATTTCAGCCTGTATTTTTCTGCTGGAAGAAAAAAGCTATGCCAGATCAACAATCTCAGAAGCTACTCATTGGTTAGACTCTCTTTAGTTCTCTTCTTATTTATTCATTCTCCCCATACACAGCAAGAACAAAAAAATCAGTCTTGCCTGTAGACAGTTGAAGTGTTTCTCACATCAAATCCCGATGAGTTTATTCTGTCCAGGAAGGCTTGTGCAAGCTCTGGTGTGATATCATACACTGTGTCCAACTGCTTTGTTGCATTGTCGTAGCTAATGAATAGTCTTATCTGATCAGTGCAAACAAAGTCATTCATAAGGATTAGGGAATAACTGCATCTAATAAAACATGTTTGACACTATAAATTAACTGACTCAGTGTATGCTTTACAGAAAGAAAGAAGATTTGGATAATACAGTATTTTTGAAGGTAATACTATTGAACTGTCAAATAATTTGAGGGTCTTCTTTCACTGGTCCTTTCAATACAAATCACAGAAGCCTGATACAGATAAATAACTACATATCACTGATAAGTCCTTTTGAATTACATAAGAGAGGAATAATTGGTTGACAATGAATTTAAATTCATGTCACATTTAAGAAATTTAAAATATATAAATTCCTCTTTCACGTTTAAATTTGCATTTTGCTTACACCTTTTGTAGAGGACATCATTTGACAATGATACATCCAATGACACTCTTCTACTTACTTCACTGAGACTAATTTTCAGAATTTCTTCCAAAGGCAGATGGACCATGTATCTTCCTAAAATCCATAAATTTTCTGCACTGACCCATGAAGCTGATTCATTGAAATCTGTTTTCAACAAATAGTTAGTTACTACAATGTTTGGAAAGTCATTGTTTTTAAAAAATATCATGCCCAGTATGTTATTATTGGTAAACAATCAAAAAATAGCTGCAAATCAGAAAAATCCTTTGCAGACAGAATCAGATTCCCTCCATTAGCTAGCTCTTAGCACCACATTTTTAAGAACTCATTCACTTTTTAATGAAACTGAAGTATTGCAACTGTCTCAAATTTTCTCATATGAAGACAATCTTTTCTGTTGTAGAAGAGAAATGGATAAAGTACAGGACTGGCAAAACTATACTAATAGTATTAAGTATGAAGCAACATTTTTTAAACTTAGGTTTTCCTAATCAAATATATTATTTGTATTCAAATCAGGAAGGCATAGTATTTTGTAACTCTTGATGTATCTCATATAATATTATTGATAATACCAATTATTTCTGTAATATGGAATACCAATATTAGAGAAAATTGATAATTATTCATATACTCATATGGAAAAAGATTAGAAAAAATACAAAATACTGCCTAACATTTAATAAATGTCATTTATCTGGTAACATTCTCAAAAAGTATTTTAAATGAAATCAGGATCCCTGAGAATAAAGTATTTACAGACCATAATATGATAATAATATTAATAATATAATAATATGGTAATAATATAATAATATGGTAATATGAACTAGAAAGACAGTGTTTTCCCAAAGTGTCCTAACTTGACTACTCAGCATGATATCATATCTTCCCCACACCTGCACTGTTTTGCATGTGCAAGAGCAACAGGACAGAAGAGAGGCATGGCAGTTCCCAGTCCCTCCTGAGCTGGGTGATCTTTCATTAACTGAGGGCTCACTAATGTTCCAGGCATGATGCCTGATGCTGTGGGACCTTCCTAGGATTGCTGAGCACCATGAGGTGAGTCTGCCCATGGTAGAATGCATGACAGCAGAGTGGTGATTTTCCCCTCTACGAGTTTACAATTTATGCAGATATTTTGAAGTAGTTGTGGTCCCAGGAGCCAGATTTTGCTACGCTGAAACGAGGGGGCATTTTGCCTTTCATTTCCAGAGGAACAAGAAGAACACACACTGGGACGTTCAGTGAGACGCAGATGCGGCTTTGATATGTTGGCATTACAGCCCTCTCGTGGAGCATCCCCTGCACTGTCCCAGCGTGGTATTAAAGATATATTAGTCAGGGAAACAGACATAGGAAAATGCATACAAATAGATTGATTTTTTTTTCTTTAAATAATAGGCTCTCAGACAGGTCTATTCTAGTCTCAGCAGGAGTTCAGAAGTAAACAGTACATATCCTATTTAAATCTTAAAGGAATTTGAGAACAGAGGCTTTGAGTACATCTCTGAGCAGAAGAGGTGAACAACAAGCATCTCTGGGGAGCTATTTGCTGTGATTAACAAATCTTCTATGCTTATTGCAGTCCACAGCAAAGGCATTGCAGAGAGCTACTCATAACAGTCCTGTGTTAAACATGAGAAACAACACAATACAAGAGAAGTCTTTTGTTGACTGTTTTTCTCTTATGATAAGCAAGAAGAACAGGCAGTGCATAACATACCACTTCTGTTATAGGGTTTCTGTAGAATCTCCTTCATCCAGCCATACAGAGCTTTCTGTGTATTTGCTGAGGTTCTGTCATAAAGGTCCTTAAATACAGTTGATCTAAGTGATATAGTGGCATATTAATTCACTAATGAGTAAGCAATGAAAAAAGCACCCAAAAAACACATGTACAAATGTTTTTAGAAACAGCAAGATAAAAGTGGAAAGCTGCAGCTGATAAAATAGTGAGACTGGTAATCTACTAGTGAGAACAGTAATTTTTTTCTAAGTATACAAATCCTGAAGAAATACTACATAGTACTAATTGTGATGATTGTGATGACTGGAAAATAAATGGCTTACAAGTTTCTGAAAACGTCTTCCTGCAGATCACTTGGGAGACTCCCAACGACATCAGGTTGGAGATAATTCACTGCTGACATTCGCAAAATCTGGCTTAGGATATCTACACAGTCCATAGCCCTCAGAGCCAGAAAGCATTTCTCCAGTGTTATAAGAAACAAGGTTCTGTTCACTCCTGGAATTTGGAAAATTCGCTCCCGAGTTTTTTCCCAATCAAGAATAACATTTCCAATTTCCTGCAAACAACACAGGGTTAAAATAACGTCTTCCCGATTAATTCCATAAACTGTTCATTTTGAAGCCTCATAGAAAGCACCCCACAAACAATATGGTGCTGTTCTCATGAAAAATAGCTGCAAAACTCTGCCTGGTTGCATTTCTTCAGATAATTCCTGTTTGGCGTTGGCTACAGACCAGCTTGAATCTTTATAAAAAAATCAAAATGAAAAACAGAAAAAGCCAAATGGTTCAAGTTACAACACGTACTCTCACGAAGGAGTTAGTTACTTGGAAAAATGAACAGATACTGGAATAGAATGAGTATTATTTCATATGTAATTTAGTATGTAGGCAACTCTAGAATGGATCTTTTCCCATGCAGTATTTCAACAGCTGTTATTACAAACACCCCCTTCAAGACACCATGCAACATCAAAGAAACAAGCGCAGGTAAAAGCCAGTCTGGCAGGGGACAGAGCATTGGGTTGTTCCTTCTCAAATATCAACGTCTCTAGGACAGCAAGGTCAGAGCTGATAGTCCCAGGCTTGGTTATTTGTTACTGTAATTATTACCCATTTCAGAAGAACTACATCCATCACTTGAGAAGACAAAATTTACAGCTTATTGACAGGGTTTATGCTCTATGCACCTCCTCCCAGTACGCACTATACAACCATCTGGTTTGCTTCAGCAACAGAAGCTGCACCGCTGTTCCTCGGGAAGTGCTCTCTGCATTGTCCAGAGTCTGTCCTGGGCAGTTACCTCACATGGCTGGGGAAATGCTCTGCCTTTGTTCCAGGTAATCTGCACCCCTGCAGTGATGCACATGCTGGAAGCCCGCAGGAAGGATGCAAAGTGCTGTCATGTACCAGGATACCATCCCAAACAGGTGGAGGCCATCCCCACTGAGTGGCACTCGCTGGATTTGAGTGAAACATATAAGGTGGGTCACCCACATAACCCATGCAGCACAAAGGCAAGAAAAAACACCATGCTGCTTCCCCTCCAAATTGCCTAATTATTTGCTTGTATGGTGCTTTAACAGGATAATTAATTTCACTTTCTTCAGTCATCTTGCCTCTTTCTAGTCCATGTGAAGAAACAGAAACTCAAAGAGAACAAGTGGTCCTCTTTGAGGACCCACCCCACAGAAGTGTTCTCTGGACATGCATCTTTCTCCAGTGAGTAGACAGAAAATCCTGACTTGGGGCTGTCAACCAACCTCTAGACACCGACCTACAGAAAGGGGCTCCTGCAATCTGCTCCAAGCCAGCCAAGTAACAGCACAGCATGCATGGTGAGAGCCCAAATCTGGTCCTTTTATCTAAGCTTTGAGAGCAGCTCTATTTCTCAGAGACTTACAAGATAGTCCTTTCTGCTGTTGAAGAGATACTTCATTGCAGTCTGGAACTGCTGTTGATCAAGTTGTTGAAATGCAGACAGCAGCTGCCTGGGCTGGTATAAAAGGTTCTTCAAGTAATTCTGTATGGATGTCTGAAGTATTAAAAAAATATGCATTATATACATAAAATTTATGGTATCCCACTAGATGCATCTTTTAGTCCCTGAAAATCACCACATAAGGAGGAATAAGTGTTTAGCTTCCTGTACTGCCCATGTTATCAGTGACCAGAATAACTACAATCAACACAAAATGGAAACAAAAATCATCTAAGTACAATGCTGGAAGACAATAGCTATTAAATCCAATTCCTGGTACCATGAGCAAGTTCTCTTCAGTGAGACGTGTAACAAAAATACCTTTTTTTCCTTTCATAAAAACAAATATACTAGTGTTTTTCTGCTTCATGGCAGAGCTGCACAAGTAAACTCTTTAAAGAGCTCTAAACATCAGGTACTGTGGGCATACAATTATTACTTAAAAAAGGAAGGAAATGTGCAATTAGACAGGAGGCACTAGGTCATAAAGCAAAACTACCCTTTCTCACATCAAACTGCATTAGCAGCTAACAACCTCATGCCTGTTTTAAAACTCCGAGGGGAATTCTAACATAGCAACAGAAAACATGATCAGGTTCATTAGCACTAGACTGGAGAAAATCCCTTCTAATTCCCACCAGAATTATTTCAGAATTGGTTAGGAATTTGAGTTGACACTGCTTTGTTGTCTTTGCATTGCCACCACCACCTATTAACACAGCTAGGTCTTTGTTGTCCAGGGTGTTCAGGGCTGATTACAGCCTTAAAATGTTAATAAAACTCATTTGTGCAAATGAATTCTGAAGACACTGAGAGCAAACAGAAAGAAGTGGGGTCACTCTCATGCAGGTTTGGAAGAGTGTGGCAGCAAAGCAGGGTTTGAGGAACTGCAGGGCTGTGGGCTTTGGGTCACACGTTTGATGCTCTCAGAGTGCATGCAGGCAGGACTCCAGATTTGGGTTAGTGGCTACAGCTCCACTTCAGTTGGCGAGGTTGTTGGATTTGGCTCCTAACCAGTCATCATGGCACAGGGTAAAGGAAACCAGCTTTTTTCTATGTTACTTCCCCAGTGACAATATAAAAAAGATATCTCAGAGGAGCCTTATAAGGTGAAAGCATTTTTTTAGGATGCTCTGGAGCCTCTCATTCCATCTGAAGTAATGCAAACTACAGCCACAGTCAAAATCTTGAAGAAATCTGCCATTTTATGGTGAAATAGCATGTGCATATGCTCAATTCAGAAACAAACAGAAAACTCCAAATTTTTGCTTACCATCAAAAGAGGTACAAAAGCACCTTATTGTTTAATCTTTGCACAATGTTACAATCTTTAGGCACAAAAAAAAATAATAAAAAAAAAATCTACATCTCTGCTACACTGCAGAGCTATTAATTACTTCTATTATTGACAACCTAACTTTGGCTACAGACTGAGTAGCTTATTTTAATTGCCTTTTAAATAAAAATTTTGATGCATTTTAAATGACACAAACCTGTAGGCTGCGAAGAGTAAACTTAACCTCTCGGGCATGGAAATATGCCATGACTTTTATAACCATATCTGCTGTCCATACATTAGAACTGCAAGAGAAACCAGGACCAAAAGTGCCAGCAAAATAACATAGCCTATAAAATAGCTGATTTAGTCAAGACAGTAAGAGAAGCAAACACTATCAGTAACAACTAAATGACACAAGTATCTTTTGGCCTAACCAGATTAACAGCCAACACATTGAATGTAATGAATAATTAGAAGAGGAATCTATTAGTAATGTTTTTTTTTGTTTGTTTGTTTTGTCTAAATCCATTTCCCCTCCCTAATAATATCAATTTTCTGACATGCTGCCAGTCATGAGATGAGCTGTGTGGTGGCTCCTCGTAATACCTCTTCTGATCTGCTTATCCAAAGTAAGTATGGGGACTAATTTTTACTGCCTTTTCCCCAGCAGAGTTATTAATGTCAGTGTTTCTTCTTTACCCTGCCAGATTTTCTCAAAATACATCAGGGTGGAATTGAGGCTTTTACTCTCTTCCATATTTAGACAAAATTGGCGATAAGTACAAAGTCACCAAGAGCTGGAGATAGAGGGATGGATGGAGAGTGAAGCAGGACTGGAAACTGACTGCACACTGGAACTGCACCAGTAAGAAGCCATGCTGAAATACATGAACTAAGTTAATTGTCAAGGTTTTTGATAACTGTAGCATGCATTCAGATTCTCAGCCTCATCCTATGCTTGCTTTTTGCTTTATCATGAAAAAACAGCTTTTTCCTCATTAGGACAAAACATTCCTCATGGTAGATCTAGACCAAAGTAATCATGTAGCAATTTCATAATGTTTCAGCTTTTGTGGAAATGAAACAGATCAGACGTGAAGTGCACGATGATACAGAAAATCAAGATGGTGAGAGTAATACATTACCTCTGAAAATGAAGTATATCGAGGAGAGCTACATGTAAAAAATGGAACAGAAAGAGTTACAGCGAGATACTGAGTTTTAATTCCTTTTAGCAACATAAATGGGAACAATTTTGCACGTTACCATTTAGGTATTTCCCAGTCATTACTTCCTCCTTAGGAAAAAAAAATAAAAATGTGTGATAGTTATTTTTAGATTATATTATAAATGTTACTAGAGAGACCAAGTAAAAATACTAACCGCAGCTTTGTGTAATAACGGAGGCAAATCTGTAAAAGATTATCACGTTATTAAAAGTTGGTTTGACATTTTACCATTCAATTGCTGTACAAAAATGTTTCTCATGCAGCTACCACAACTACATACACACTTATAATTTACAGTCACACATTTACTGCAGCTTTGATTAAATGTTTTTACAGAAGAACACTGAAAATAAAAAGCTATTAAATAATAAGTAATTTTGTCTAAATTCTTTGCTGGTATAGTCCCTGAGGCCAAGAGAGCAGTGAATAGCCTCCTACTTACTAAACAGCACTGAATCTACCTTGAATCTACTTACTAAACACAGCTTTTTCCATCACACAGAATACATTCCCAACATAGGATTTCTAGTCTTACCTTCAGAATTCTGACTGTGAGTAATCTCTGCAGGATTCATTAATATCAATAAGAAACACATCTTCAGAAGTCTGAGCATTTCTTCTAGCATTTATTAGATTCAGAAGATATTTGGATTGAAAAAGAAAATAAAAAGAGCAGTCAAAAGGCAGCATTTGCCCCAAACTTCCATTGCTGTAAGTCAGAGCCAGTCTAATCTACCAAGCACAGACTGAAATCAGAATGATCTGCAAGTGCTTGCTTCCAAGCTTTCAATTTAGATCTTTTTCCAGGCTAGAGACACACTTTATGCAAATACAAGTCCACCAGGTGTCTGTGCAGCCAGGGATTGTTTTTCCCCCTTTTCAGTAAATACTTTTTCCTTCCTAGCTGCACTTTACTAAGCCACATTCCAACTAAATATGACTTAAATGCCATTTAGCAGTAACAAACAAACAAAAACTGAACTTTTAAACTCGGATAAAATAGAAAAGAAATAGAGAGATTGAAAAAAGAAACTCTAACCAGTCCTTCAGCCTTCCTTAGCTCATGGAGTTGCCTGCACAACCACTGCAGCTGTGCCCTGCCCGGCACTGGGCATGGCCTTCAGCATCAGTTGCTGATGGGTGCCCCAGGCAGGGGGGAGGAGCTCTCCCTTTCCTTCATTTCAAGGGCTTAACTGCACCATGCTTACTTTCCCCATTTCTTTTTGTTGCTGAATTTGGATCTGTGCTTTCCCCCCCCCTCCCCCCCCGCTGTTTTACTTTGTCATGGATTGAATTACAGATTTGAACATTTGATAATTAGAAACACCTTTTTCAGACTGTTTAATCTCACCTATCTGTTAGGTACCATTTTACAAGAACACCTGTCAACAGCCTCTAGCAATATCTCAGCCTAATGCAAATACATAACTCCAGCCTTGTTACAGGAGTGACTCAAACTGATGGATAACAACACACTGAAACACTGGGCTTTAGGAAACCAGGCCCCATCCTTTCCTTGCACACACTGAAGAGCTTTTCAACTACTCCTCTGGGAGTGCTGCACTACACCTCTCTCATTCAGATGTATCTGGTTTCCCAGACAATGAACTTTCTTGTGTTTGTTTCTGCTATTGCCCTATTAATTTTGCAGTAAGGTTTGATTACTCTGCATGGTTTAAATCATACTATCAATGTCAACCATGACTTTTTTATTCCAACTCATTCACTTTGATCACAGAGAGTATTTTAATTAAGGCATACCAAATTAATATATAAGGAGATTAAATGCTAAGAGAAGTTCTCTTCTATCCTGACTAACTGCAGCGGACAACTAGCAGGTGCATAAAGGATTTGCAGTGAAACAGCCCTGCTTGATAAGAATCTGTGAGATTAAGTATTTCCTTTGTCACTGAAACCAGTCCATTTGCAGAAGTTCCCTGGAGCTTTTAGGCAACCCTAAATCAGCCTGTAGCGCTGCAGCTTCCACCCAGCATCTCCCTGCAGAGTTTTCCTTGCAGTATGGCAGCACATGCTATGAGCAGATCTCCGAGAAATCTCTTGCTGGACTCTCAGGTTATGAGGAGCTTGCAGATTGTCCCTGCTCTTGCTCCCAAAACACACGCTCTTACATGTCAAGAAATCCTAGATCCTTTATCACCCACCTCTTCGATGCAGCTCGTACCTTATCTGAAGCCTGATAACCAGAAAACTAACCTCATAATCAGAAGTCTTGCTGATAACCTCATGCACGAGTGCTTTCAGCATCTCCACAAAAAAGCCCTAACGTGCAGCAGTGTGGGAACACTCAGGGGGTTCAGGCTGCAGAGGGAGGAGGGAAGAAAGCAGAGGGCAGAGAAGAGAGCTGCTGAGTTCTTGTGGCATCAGTGGGGACAGCCAAGCACTTTACCTGCTTCTGCCACGTGTCTCCTTCCCCGCACTTCACAGTGCAAGGAGCTGGCGGCTGCAGCCAGAACCCCTGAGAGGAGGGTAGAGACTGCCCTACAGCTTCATATGCCTACCCAGCCTTCAGTCAGAGGGTAGGGGAAAGGTCCTGCTGTGGGAACTCAAGAGGGCGAGAGATCCTACAGCAGGCAGCGAAGGACTCGTCTTCTCATCGAGATGTAAGAGTTTTCAGTAGGATGTGTGAGGGCAACAAACTGGGCCAGGCTGGTATGGCCCAGTACCTCCCACCTCCCCACGCTGAGCTCCTGGCAGCAGGGCTGGAACTGACTGTACCTGGGGCCACCCAGCCAAGGGGGCTGTGACTTCTGTGAGATGATTCTCTGCCAAATTTCTGCTGAAAGCTCCTGACCAAACCATGCTTTTGCACTGTGTCTTTTCTCCTGCGATGCAACACATCCAGTGCTACCCTGACAGAACAGATAGTTCAGTTATTTCCCAAGGCAAAGTACTGCTCACTTTTGTACTGCTAAGAATTGACTTACACATCACCATACCCACAGCAGGACAGGGATAGCAGAGGAACAGTAAATCCAGGGATAAAGTATCAGGACATCAAACTGGCCACACTTGTCCCCTTGGATGAAATCTCAAATAATTTCAGGGAATTTAAACGACTGGACTCAAAATGGTTTCTTCGCATGGGATGTGGAAGCAGTTTGCTGTACACAGAAAGGCTCATGAGGTCATAGAACACATAGAAGTCCCTGAGAAGTAGGGGTATAGGTACCATCCCTCAGGGCTACTCTGCACAACAGGTCTAAGGGGGTTTCTGAGGATAAGTACCAAATGCATAAAATACTTTGGGTTTACCTTAAAACAAAGCAAGGGCAACTGTGCATATTTTCTGCCTAGGCTATTATCTCTACAGGACAAAGTTACTAAGCATTCTTATTCTGCTGTGTGACTGTACTTAACAGCTACATTATAGAAAGGAAAACAAGGCAAAACTATCAGAGAATTTTAAGAACAGGATTGCAGTGTTTTGATTAATATCTACACTCAATATATTTGTGGTGCTTTAACTTACTTTAACTATATTGTGTGTTGTTTTAACAACACGACCATACAAGTGTGTGTGTGACAAGTGTCTCAAAGATACCCCGACAGATAGTAAATAAGGAAGCTGTCACAGAGCTTCCAATGCTCCCAAAAACTGGGAGTACTTATGGCCCTCTGAAGACCAACACTGATCCTGCAAGGCTCAGTCCTTTAGACCTTAATCTTTGGTTACAGATTTTCCCTGTCACCATTCACATTTCAGTGCTTTAATTTTGCATCTCAAGCATCCCAATACTTGTTTAAATTGAGAAAACAAAATAGGAAATAAAAATACTTTTACACTGTATCTTCTGACTCAAAATATCCCAAAGCTATTACAAACGATTGTCTTAAATTACAAAACTAAAAGATATGAAAGACATGCAAAGTCTCCCACCTGATTATAACCTGTGAGAGCAAAACTTTGAAGTGCCGTTTAAGAATTTGCTAAGTGAAGCTAAATTCATTGCATGAGAATTGTATTTTCCCATTACTGAATAGGTCTCAGTAAAGTAAAAGAAAAGGAAAAAAAAAGGATTCATTCTAAAGTATATAGAGTTCATTTTTCCAAGAGAGAAGTTTCACTGCATGCTGTGCTGAAATTCAGTAACAGATGCTGAAATCAGAATAACACTGAGCCTGAATTACTGTTGGGAAAAAAAACCCCACCAGTGAAACCTCTCACCCCTTACTACAGAACACTTAATCTTTCACAAAGACTAAGAACAAAAGGCTATTAACTTTGCAAGAGAAATCACTAAACATCAGGAAAAGGAAGTCAAAGATAAATCTAAAAGGACAAGCTGAAAATCATACCTGGCATGAGATCACCAACTGTTAAATAAATACCTTGTTTATACTTGAAAAGCAAAAGATAAGTCAGTTTTTGCTTCACTTACCAGCTGATCTACATGCTGAAGTTTCCCTGCTGTCTTACAACACTTACATCCCAAGCAAGACAAGACATAGGCCTGCCAGTTCTGTACTGCTTCCTGGTGTTGCCGTTTGTAGTTTTAAAGGAAGGTTTTATCCCGACTGCCAGAAACTAGGCATTTTAACAGGGGTTTTTAAAAGAAGACATGTTAAAACAAATACTTTGTGTTCCTGGAGGAAAAAAAAAAGTTCCAAGCTATTTAAACCTTTGAAATCGGGTCCCCTGAGGTCAAAGGCTCAGAGGCAGTTTTACTTACAAAACATCTGCAAGAAACTGCCTGCAAATTCTTTAAGCTTATGGGAACAATTCACTTTGAAAGTTTATTATCAAATCCATCAGTTTAAAGTGTAGTTTTGGCAAGCTCTACCATAACCTCTTTAGCTGGAAAATGGCATATGCAAAAGCAATGAGTATTTATGAGGCATTGAGAAGAACATGAAAGAAACCCAACCAAAAGTGATACAGTTTTTTGTGGACTGTTATCCCTTTAAGCAATACTTAAATACTGTTTTAATGAACTCAAGGTTGTGTTGCCACTGAGAGCTCAATTCTCAACGCAAAAAGCTGTTGCTGTGAACAAGCATGACTATGGTTACAAAAATGAACACAAAAGTTAATGCAAAAAGTCATCTCAAAAAAGTTTATTAGCATGAATAAAAACGTGAAGAATGACAGTAAGAGAGAAAGTAACTTAGCATGGAAGAATATCCATTTAAACAGTTTATCATCAGCAAGGTTTGAAATAAATGGATAACTTTATTGCCAGATTTCAAGTGATTTCTTGAACAACAATTTGCGTTGCATCAGATTCCTCACTAGAACTATTGCTTCTGTTTGGATCTGATCCCTATTGCAGGTAAGAATTTAAAAAATATCCCCTGTTACTGCTGGACTGCAGAATGCATTGTTGGTTTAAGAGCTGATAAAAAAAAGAAATTCTCATCCGAAGTCTCCGTTTAAAAATTAAAAACAAAATTTTCCTAATCACACTACAAAGAAATACATTAGTATTTTGGCCATTAAAATTCTTACATGGTACTTATTTAGCATGGCAATCCCACAAATTCCCTCCCTTCACGTAACCATAAACCAAATCTCTCTTTCAGAGGCTGCTTCTTGGCTTTGATTCTGGAGATTTACTTCATGTACTTCATGTATGCTTACACCGGCTTCAGGACAAAGACAGCATCATCTAGTACATAGTAGTCATTATACATATCACCTTCACATAGGTATGGCAGTCTGGTGAAAGCCTCTATGGCAAAACCAGCTTTACCGAAAACTTCTGGCAGGCTATTAACCTGTTCTTCCCAAGTATGCCCTTTGATTTCCAAAACTTCTGAGGGCTTTTCCCACTTGCCACCTACTGAGAAAAAAAACAAGTTTTGTTTCAATTATAAAGTAAACTTAATTGTGTGTTATATTTTCTTTCAGAAATTATACTACATAGACTGCAATCCATTCCATTCAAATACAAGGTTGACAAGCCATTTGTAAAGATGCTGATGGATCAATTCAAGGTTTTTTCAGAAGCAGCTCCTTTTTAAGGTGATCTTATGTTACTTTTTTAACAAGCAGCTCCAAAACTAGCTGAAAAGGACCTTCCATCACTGAGACTGGTGTTCAGCAGCCATGGACAGACAGACAATTTAGCAAAGATCTTTTCCAGCATTGCATTTTTTTCTTTATGCCTACAGTTTGGTCAAAAAATTGCCATCAAGTAATTACATACATAGAGATAGCAAGTTGAAAAATCATGATTTGCTGAGAAGTTTTCAGTGGTAAACTATCTTGCTGGATAGATAAGGGATGGCAACAAAATCTGTTGTGGCAATGGACACTTACAAGCTGATGTAACAAAGACAGTTTAAGGCCACGTAAAATTAAGAAAATGAATAAGTGTACTACGCTGAAAAATATGTTACTTGCTATATACAATGAATAAATCTGAAGTATTACAAGCACAACTCTCAGTTTGAAGTTAAGAAGTGTTCACTCACTTTGAAAGTAACGTAGAAATATTTTCTGGTGTGTGCTGTACACTTAGCATGTTTGCTAAATGCAATAGTAAAACCTCTTCTAAACAGGAAGTCCTAAATCTCGTGACTCAGAGCGTTCTGCAACTCCAGATATTTCCTAAGTTCCTCTTCCTTCGAGCAGAATACTTTCCAGAAAGATACAAGAAATGGCATCTGTCAACAAATTCCAAAAAGTGCTAGTGCTGGCACTTGACTGGATTCTGTACAGTGTTGGTAAGACTTTTTTTTTCTAAGCTTCTTTCTACCTTCTCATGTAACAGAAGATACGGGATTAAAAACTGTGGTTATGATCTGCAGCATAGCTGGAAGTATAGCAGAAACTAAGAGTTGAGTTCTCTATTCATGCAACTTCCAAAACAATCGACTCTTTACAAATGTCTTTTCTTCCAAAAGTCTGAAATGCTTCTGTAATCTACGATTTTCGGGTCAAATCCTACTGTACTTCCCTGCAAGGAATGCTCCAGCAGCAGCAGCATGGTTTCAGTGCTACCGTGCTTGTTTGGGAGGAGGGTTTAGGCAGCCTGGCTACTGAAACTGTGGAGTTCTGCCCTGTAAGGTCAGAGCACAAAAGTAAAAGGAGATGATCAACTGCTGGAGCACAGCATTCTCCTTCACCACACAGAATGTAACTGACGACTTACACCACCACAGTCTTCAGATTGCTGCAGCTGCTGTGGAATGGCTCTGATGTTGATTTGACAGAGAATTTAATTTCATTCCTGTAGAAGTAACAGACACTGAATCTGCTTGAATCTGGTCCATAAAACATTCAGTGAGAGAAATGATAAAGGGACTGTGTTGACTGTCCACAGTAGAGCCTTACAGACGGCATATCAGCATGCTCATTAAGACAGACATCAGTTTATTTTTATTCTAATTTGTTACTTTCTAGAGAACAGGAGAGGATGCTGGTAAGCACTATTTTCATTTTCACTGCCTAAGCTCAATTCCATTTTTTAAATAATTAAACAACGTGAATAAAATGAGATATACCAAATGTATTTAAATAATGTTTCAAGTTTTTATTGAACTTTAAAACAAAAGTAAATCTGCCAGACCAGTCATATTAAGCCTAACATTTCAGTTCCTTAATTAGAATTCGCCCTGATTAATCTTCCTGTTTTCTCTACACATATTCTTAAATGTCAGAACTAACAAGCAATATTGTTGTCCCTAGAAACCCAGAGTCAATATGTGCAACAAAGTGGAATAATGCCTAGGAATTATTAAGAATTCTTTCCAATGTTACAAAAGTGCTAAGTTTTAAATGTCTCAGTTTCTGACATTTCCGCTGCCTCCATCAGGCAGTCTCACTGGACTCCCAGATCTGGGAAAAGAGAGAAACCCTTGATGAAATACATCACTGAGTATTTATGTGTAAGTCACCCACCTCATCTTAAACATTCAAAGTCTGGAATGCGTTTTTCTCCATTTCCACCCACCTCTCTGCATGAGCCATAAGTAGCTCTTTTGTTTGTTTTAAATGATGCTTTGCTATCTCACTGTCCCTCACATGGTTGTTTATTCTCAACAGGTGCTACAGATAACTGCCATGTCACTGTAACACAGCCCGGGTTTCAGGAAGCTGAACACTCTGAGCACACTGCGCTCCTAATGTGTGCTTTCTCTGCCCATGGATGCTCCCCATCTCAGCCTCAAGTTCTGTGGTTTCGCGTTTTTACTAACAGACACGAGGATCTGTGCACTCCTGAATGCACGAATCGCCAGAAGTTCCAAGTTTCTGCATCATCAGAAAATAACTATTGGCTTCAAATCAACCACCTGACTGTAAACGACAGTGCTATTTATTTCTGTGGGATAGCATTTGCAGATTCAGGCTCACCCCATTCTAAGCAAACAGGAGATGGAACAGTGCTGACAAAAAGAGGTCAGTTCATTATTCATTCCTAATGAAGCACGGTCAAAAGTACATTTTCTTTCCTACATACTCTATTTAGATGCTTAAAGTAGCATTTAAGATAGAAATACCAACCAAACCGTTGGAGGAGTAGGACTTAATTAAAATACTAATTGTGAGGCTACAGAGGGATTCTACAAATAAGCACTTCAGTGTCATTTACTTACTAGACTGTTCTGTCACATGATGCAAATGACTCTAGAATTCCACTACAGAAAGAAATTTGCTACCTAGCCATACTCTGCACACTCTTACATCAAAACTTTGATGGCTACTACAAGGATGTAGCAAGTGAGAAGTAGAGAAACTGACATTTACTGAAAATACATCCGACAGAGAACAGGGTTTCAGGACTGGGGATTCACAGTGCCAGCTCGAGCCAAAAGTTTTAGTCCTATACCTCTGCAATGTTTGCCATCTAGTTAAAAGATGATACGACTTCATTACACTTCAATTTTACATGGTTAAACAAAAGAAAAGTAGCAGGATTATTGTTTTTCCCTCTATCCTTCCTTCCCCAGCCTAGTTTTATTTCTAATTCCTAAACAGTTTTATTAAGATGTTCTTTAATTACAGCATAATACTGAGTTTTATTCTCAATCTATCCCCTAAGGAAGTGTTTATAATCAGAAATAACAAGTCTCCATTGTCCTTGCAGGTGATCTTACTAAGAAATTTAGATTGGAAACTAATTTTAAAAAATTACATTGATATGTATTAAGCTTTTTAATTCTGCAGTTATATATGCAGAGTTATATATGCAGAGTTATAAGGAAATTATATGACTCATAAAAACTGTTTATTACTCTTAACACTCACTTCTAACTAAGCAGAGAGGCACAAGACTGAAGAATTCAACTCCATGATCATCATCTCAACATTACTGCTTCTATACAGCATTACTGTATTCACAATCCTTGCAGTCCACAAGGTAGGCTCAAACTGATGTTGTTATTTAACTTTAAGCAGTCCTAGCACCTCCACAAGAATGAATTCCCAGCTTCCATAACATCTGTAGTTAAGTTCTAGCAATGTGGTTGGTTGAATGAAGTTCGTATGTTGCACATCTGTCTGCAATAGCAATCACATTTTCTTTTTTAAATGAAATGCCTTAATTTTTCTTTTTTAAATATAAAGCTAAAGTTTTACTGAGTGCTTTAATCAGCAGGTTGAAGACTATTTATTAATGCACACTCAAAAAGTAGAGCTAGAAATTACCACTGCAAGTCATTAACTCTTTGGATTGGTTTCCATTAGAAGTAAAATAACTTAAATTCAATGCCAAAATATTTGTGAGCTGAAAAGTTAGTAAAGTGACTTTACTCACATAAAGAAATTGTCTTCATCCATTGTGCAAACACAGACATTAGTAAAACTGATGCATATAGGAGCATGACATGTGAATATGGACTTTACAGCTGCATGTGGTACAGCGTGGCTCCTGGCTGTAGTGACAGCTGTCTAACCAAAGGCAGGAAGACAGGAAGCTTGTTGTTGTTGTTTTGTTTTCTTTGCCTGAATACTATAGGGGGGAAAAAAAATCAATTGCCTTTTTAACCAGGAGAAAAACTGCTATCTTACTTTTGACAACTAGGCCATGCTTCGGGCAGGTTCTGTTGTACACAAAATAAAAATATTTGTATCATCTACTACCAGAAACCAAAAAAGGCTGTATATGTTTGAAAACTCTTGATTTTTTCAACGTTATATAAGCAAATCTATTAAGTTGACTTTTATATATTCTCTGTTGCTAAATCATCCCCTTGTTTTAATCATTTTTTATTCCTTCTCCTTCCAGTTAAAACGAAAGCTGCTAAATAGAAGTGGGAATGAAGGGCAGAGAACAGAGAACTGTGTACGTCATCACCGTCTGCTTTACCCATACCTTATAGAGTAATAAAAAGCCATACTTGCTATTTAAATATCCATTAAGGAAGGTACATATGTTAAGAGATGTAGTATTAATCTAATTTAAACCCTTTGAGCTGCCAAATTGTAAGTTCCTAGAGCATTATTTAGTAACTCTCTCAAATACATGCATAGGGAAAATAATCAGAACTATAAAAATGTAGCAAAAGATGCTTCTCCCAGCTGTAGCACTCAACTGCAGCACTAACCTAACATGTTTTAAATCATTTACAGAAAATCAGAAGTGGCCGAATAATTTTTCGAGCAATAGCCCAAGAACTTCAAAAGAAGCGGTTTGCTGAGCACTGCCACCAGCCTGTAAGTTTTATCTATGTAGGAAAAATAGACACATACATAATCTTTTGTATTTTTATATATAATACATACAAAATGCACATATATTTTAAATGATGTCTCTATCAGCTTGTATTTTGCCAAGAAGTTGCTCCAGCAAGTTTTCTGGACTTTGATAAAACAAATTTATTAAGGTTCATTCGTGAAAACATTTCATTTGCAGTTCCTCTTTTGCCCTCAGGCCAGGGTGGTTCAATGACAGAACCATAAGAAAATTGTTTCAAAACACCTCTGTAACATTCTTACAGATGTTTCCCCCAAGTCAACATGTAGCCTAAATTAAGCAGGCAGTACCACTGGATAAAGGCACACAACTTACTTCATCACTCCAAATTTCCAGCACTAAGTCTTGAATGGCAATATAACAAAAAAATTTTGCATGTCGTCAAAGTTACGGAAGGCAATTCCAGAAGTCACATGTACTTGCAAAAAAAAAAAAAGGCTTCAAAGTGATCCTTCTTCTGATTCAGCTTCTCTTGAGAAACAATATAAATTCTTCCCTATTCTAAGCTTACACTGAACTATTTCATGCAAAAGAAAAAGGAATGGAACAGCAAGTCAAGCACTTCTCCTCTAAACATTTTCACTTTAACTCTGTACCACCTTAATTGATGTCCTCTGTGATTATCCCTTTAAAGACTTCAAGTCCCTGCTGACTTAATCCTTGGTTGTCAGATATGAACATAATGAAAATACATGGTATGTTTTAATGCCTCTGTGCCCTCTGAAGAATAAGAGAAGGCAAGAGGAAAAAAACGCTTAGAAACCTGTAGGTACCATACAGCCAGATAGGTAACTTGATAAACAGGGAGGGAAGGAGTTTGCTGAAACAGTAAAGGGTGGAATTCACCTCAAAAAGGAAGTTCTGCATTTTAAAAAAGCCAAAAACATTTGCATCAGTAAGTAAACACTCATACATTTTTCCCTAGGATCATATGGAGGATGACACTGTTTATCAGAACAGATGAGTGTGTGCTGCGTTTCCAATCTGTTGGATGTGTTTGATGCAACCGAAGGGGCTGATGAAGAAGTGAAGCTTTTTCACAGACTTACTTTCCTTTAAAACGCAAGGAGAAAACTGTACAGAGCAGTGTTCTTTGAGAGTGTTTGCTAAACACATCATCAAAACCAACATTATGTCTTCTACACATTACTTCCCATTCCACAAGAACAACAACAGTGGGAGAAGGCTTCATCTTTTAGAAGAGAACTGCTAATGCTTCATAAAAACTTCCCCTTTCAATTTAGATTTAATTCTACACATTTTTACATGAATTTCAATGCATTTCTTATATGTGAATTGTGCATTTGTGTAAGATGTACATTAATCAACAGCAACAAAATAAACTCATTGTGCAGTGACGTTCAGTTTTCAGTCATATTAGTGTGGTAGTTACAATGGATATACAGATGAAAAACTACTGAGTCTTACAGCAGCTTTAACAGCAAAGCAGATGTATTCTGTAGATAGGCAAGCAGGAAAAAAACCCACAACAGATAACATGAATGCACATACTATCATGCTAAAGCTCATTTGGGATGGGAACTTCCCCCTAGCCTACCTAGGAAAGGAAGATGGCAGTCACTGTGAAAAGGCTGCTCTAGCAACTTTAACATTCAATCACCAGCAAGACAGCTCCTTTCCTCCAACCCTACCATCCAAAGGCAGGATTATCTGGAGTGCCAACCTTTGCTCACAGCAGATGCTGGCATGAACACAGAAATGCACAGAAGTTACTAACCAGCTAATGTACAAAATCTGCACTTTGAGAAGTGACCTGCTGATGCCAGGCATACTTACTGCTCAGGAACAACTACATCTATCATCATTTAAATGAAGCAGGGACTGAAGTACTACTTCTCATTTCAGCGACATGAGAACTGACAGATCAGACAAAGCAAGGCCCCACCTAGCACAGTACTGTGTTTCCAGATCTACTTAATACCAAATGCTTCAGGAAAATGAAAAATGCACCTTCCTCTTCTTATCCCTATCAAGCAATGAAATAAAAATTAATGTGTTCAACAAGAACATTTCACAATCCCAGGCTGATAGTGTTGATTTTTTTCTGAACTTTGGTGGTGACTTCAACATTTTTATTTTGGAGAAACTTAAACCATTCTAGTCTATTATTTAGAACTGACTTTATACAAATGCAATGTCTGTATTAGGAAATACAAAGCATTTCATAGTCACCCAATGGGATACCTACCAAAATTACCAAGTTAGACTAGTCACACAAGCATGTTTGTTATGATACCATATAATTCATATAGCTTACTTGACAAATTCATACATGAGCAGGAAGTGCATTACTTGTTCTACATGTTGAAAATAAAACTTTTGCGAAGAGCTTAATTTATGATTTAGCAACTTCAGACTCTAGGTGTCACTGTAATTCCAGAAACAGCACAGACAAAAATGTTACCTCCCACTCTACCTGGCTTTGTTCTCTTTGAGCAGGCTTCGCATTGACAGTTTCTGCAACTGCTGTCAAACTATGCTAAGTGTAGTAACCCAGATATGTTTCATATCTCCAACTCTAAAAACTGATCCTTACCTGACTCATCCCTGCTCCATTTGTTTCCCACTTTAAAATTCAGAAATCTCCCCAAGCAGGTCCAAACTTTTAAATTAGCTGATACAAGGAGCAATCCAAGATCCATACAATTTTTTTTCTTATCATAAAGCCTAGGTACACATGTGACATTTAAGGTATCATCTTATAGAACAATTGAATGAAAATCTGAAATCTACAATCTTTTGTATGTGATGAACACAGAATGGCTCCTTACTGTTTCTTTAGGCTATAGCTGAATAGATCTTAAGTTGGAAAGCTTCAGTGGAATGCCAATAACTTGAGCATTTAGTAATTTGCATTGTCCAGAATGTTTATATAGGCCCATATCCACAACAGAGGTAAACAAAGTAAAGACGTTTTGAAGTTTCAGTAGATATTTACCAACTGGAACACTGGAAATGGTAATGGCATAGTAATCTGTAACGTGTTTTGTGGCTGGCTGTGATCTGCAACATCATCACTGCACTAGCTGAAACTTATGACTAATCATTTACAAGTTGTCAGAATAAACCAAAGTTTGACTTCAGTTTACAGGCTATCTTAGCTGTTCTTGTTCGAAGTTGAAATCCATTCTAAGATCAGCAACCAGAGAACAGGTTTCTAGTCTCTCAGGATTTCCAAATTTAATAACCTATTCTATTCCCAGTATGCTGCAGGCAAATAATGATGGATTATAAATGGGCTTGGAGTATTTTTTTCTTTCTTAATCTATCTACCTCCTGGTGAGTGAGGAAGTTACACGTGGTCTAGCGTGGTTACCCAACAACATGCAGAAGAGTAGATACTGGGCGTAACAGTGATTGCAAAACACAACGACATATAGTTTTTAAGGCACACAAACACACAAATCACTCCTCGATTTCTGCTTCTAATACACTCATGGAAGTCTAGTGAGACAATGCTGTTACTTGGAATTTAAAATAATTTTAAGTTGCTCAGGGACATGATTTAGTGGAGGGCTGTTAGTTAGGGTAATATGGTTAGGTTGTGGTTGGACTCGATGATCTTTAAGGTCTTTTCCAACCTGAGCAATTCTATCATCACATGATTCTAAAGAGAGGAAGTGAAACAATCCTACATTATAGGAACACAGCTGCAACCAAACCTGCTTGAAAATATCATACAGATGCATAAGTCAAACTCTTATCTCATTTAAGACATATTACTTTTTAGAACAGCTATCAAACAACATGCTCAAATACCATGCTTTAAGTAGCTCTTCAAATTATCTTATTTTTAGACTTAACTTTCTTTTTTCCTTTGCCTCTCTCAATCCCCCTCCTTCCCCAGTGTTAATGGCATAAAGAAAAATAGATTCCTTTTGATTTATGATTTCCAAAACATTAACATTATTAGCTTGTACTTTCTAGGAGCACATATACTTCTGCTGACAATTCTTACTAGTTGAGGACAGCCAACGTCCAAAGAATGACTGATGAACACCAGCCTTTAGAACTTAAACTTCCTTTAGCATGCCTCAAGTTGAATCCCCACAATCACAGGCACCTGAAAGAAGCTTCTAGCCTCTTCTGATGTGCAGTCACAGAGAAAGATTCATTTGAAATGACTCTCATGCGTTTTTTTAAAATGCAACTACAGGAAATAATGGAATGTCAGCAATAAATTTTACTTCTTATTCCAGTTATTAGTACACTACTAATAATGGTTGGTATTTCACATTAGTACATGGTCTATATTTTACTCCGAGAGCTTGTATTGGACAGCAAACATTATCTCCCTAGTAATTTTTAGGTGTAGTTCATCTGGAACGCTTGAAACATTTTGAGCTAAGCTGCTCTACTCAATACTACAGACAGTTCTGATGGATTTGTTCAACGGTTGCTAGAGACAACTGGGGTTACCTATGTGACAGCAGCAGAGGGCCCTAATCAGAGATCAGTTTTCCCATGTTGCTCCAACACAGCTCAAATGTGGCAACCTGCAGAACAGGATATGTGACTTCAATATCCGAGCTTTTTGTTGGTGCCAACAATGTATGCTGGGGAATTAAGAAAACAGCTCTTACCTCGTGTGTCCTATTTACCTATCATTCCATACTTCTCAACAAGCACACTACAAGTTAGTTATAACTAAGTCAAATAAAAACATGTCAATTATTTTAAAAATGTCTAATTCAGAATATTGCAAACTATAAAAGCTTTTAGCTGCCTAAATAGCTACTGTCCATGTACTTACCATTTTCCACGTATGGGTGAAACGGCAGAACTAATGCTAGAATGACTCTGCCTCTAGTTGGCTCCAGGACACTTCTAATATCTTTTAATACAGTCAGTGGCTGATCACAGCGATCCAGCAAATTCAAACAGCTGATAACATCATACTGAAATCCTGTGTTCTGCCATTCATTTATACCAAGCACCCTACAAAGAGAGAAAGAGATAAAGAACCAAGCTCACAGGGAATCACCGAGCATAAAAATTCCCAGTGAATGTGCTGGTAGCACATTGCCAACCAGGCAATGAGGAAAGGCAGACACTTTTTTCTAGTCTAAGGAATAGAAAACTACTCAACGATAGGCATGGCTATATATTCAGCCACACCTTCATAATGCCATATAAACATCAAGGTATTATTAGTCTAATGTCCTAAATTAAAACTGAACATACTTATCAAGTAACAACAAAGCTGAAATGTGATTAATGGTTTGCAGCATTTTAACCACCCTGACTTAGCAATGTGCAAACCCAGTTGCTATTAATTTTCCACTTATGGATAGGTAAAGAAAAGAAATCCACAGTACCTTCATTCTTTGTGTTGAAGTCTAGGGATACTAACCATTATTCAACAAGACAAGATCTGCTGCCTACAAGAACTTCCAGCCATTGTGACCAGAGCACAACTAAGTTCTGAAAGCGATGAGGTTTTTGTTACTAAGTACTGTTCAATCTTAATAGCAAGAGCTAAATATAATAAAAGATTCTTTACAAAGCAGTCTACAGTCATAACTTTGAGTGATCAGGTACAGATACCTGAATAATCTGTGTCTATAACCAGGATCCAGTTTGCTTGCTTTGCAGTCCCATCACTTCCTCTCGTAATTTTAGACTGTTCATTCATCAGCATCCAAATTTTGTCTCTCTAATTGTCTTGTTTAAAGCAATTTACACAAACTATGAAAAAAGAGACTTCAAAACAGTTGCTGCCAATTTTGTCTTAACTGGTAACAGGGGGCATTTGCATAACAAAAGCCCTGGTAACAAGGAACATCAGATGTGTTTACTTTCTTGTTTTTGTATAGTTCAATCCTTTCCATAAAGATCAAACAATAGAAAAATTGACTAAAAATACTGGACGTTTATAAAATATTACAAAGATTATTTCGCAGTAATGTCTGATATTTACAATGTAGGGATCCTTCAGAACAATACCTGTATTTTTTCTTCTGTAGCTGCCATATCATAGTTTCAGACAACTCAGTGGCATAGATTTCTTCAAAGTGAGGACTCATGACTTTAGTAACCTCTCCATCTCCAGCTCCTAAATCGAGAAGTCTGTGGGATTTCCACTCTGGATTTATTTTAAGCAGTCTTTGAAATTGTTCTGGGGAAAACACAAACATTGAGCCCCTTCCCAGCAGCCTGAAAGGTAAAGACGAGAAACATTCAATTGCATACAAGCTTGAACAGGAAGGACAATGAAGTAATTTAAAATGTGCTTTGGCAGCAATCAGTCACACAAAATAGATAAGGTCACTACTCAGATAAATTTACAAATCCAGTTCAACTTGCCTTCTACTTGTCAGAGATCACACAAACAACTACATGCACTTTTAGTGCTAAGACTTCAGGAGGGATTTGATCAGGAAAAGAGCTTGCGGGCTGCAGAGCAAGAAAATGATCACACACAAAAAAGCAGGGAGGGGGAAGATAAAGACTAAGCCTTATTTGTCATGTTTGCAGATCTGAATCTCTCCCACCTACCTAAAAAGGAGAAAGAAGGCAGAGCAAAGGGAACAGCAAAACAGCTGCACTCAGAAGCATGCACAGAGAATAAGGGATAGAATTTGGAATTAGGAGGGACGGCAGGGAAGAGATTTAAAGAAAGCATGGGGATAACACTGCTGGAGTGGCAAAAGCAAAGACTTCTTAATTGTGTGTTACAATGGCTTTTGCTGCTATCTGCAGACCCTGCATTTAACACGAAGAGCTGTCAATCAGAAAATAGGTAACTCATTAAGGTACTGGGCAGAGGTGACATTTGGATTCTTTATGGATCACGGCAATGGCACACACACCCAGAACTGACTGAAGGCTACACAGTGACAGATTTCTGCTGCCATAGCAGAATTCAGAAGATGAAAGAGTTAAGAGAACAAGCAGAGGAAAAAAGAACGGGTCAATGACAGACTAAAGGTAGTAAAAAATATATATTATTTAAACTCATGTTGGATAGCATGTTAAATTTAAGAAAGAAAATGAACAGAAATCTTACGATCAAGAGGAAAAAAGGTAAACAGATAAAAAGGATGAAAGAATAAAAAAATCTGAAAAATAAGAAATATAGATAGACTATTAAAAACAAACACCACCAACATAAGGATAGGCTGTACAGGTGTGTAGAAGAAACTAAAGTAGGATATTAAATATATTAAAAAAACAAACAGAACACAACCAGTTTATGTAGAATCCCTTTGCACCACATTCATATCAGTCTGCACTGTCTAACTGGCTCATGGCTATTATGCAGAACAGCACTACGAGGAGTTACTCAAAGCACTGAAGAGCTTTTGGGGAAAAAAAAAAACAAAAAAACAAAAAAGCAAGAGAAAGGATTATGAGAAGACCAACGGAACCTTTATTTGTAAGCCTACAAATACTAATAACACCACAGGAAGCTCAGAGACATCTGGTTAGAAAATAAAGAAAAAGATTATTTTCCTAGCCTTAGTAGCCATCTATTGTCCTCAAATCAGACTGTACTGAAATATGTAAAGATGTGAGGACGGTGGAGAAATGGGGCAAATGCAACAAAATGCATTCTTGATAGAGCCAAAAGTGCTAAGCTGTTACACACGTCTGAGCAAAAGAGAGGTGAGTGAGTAGAAACTTTGACTTTTTGGGGGTAAAACATGAAAGCAGCCACGACCAGCTAATCTCTCCCACAGCCAATCACAGGAGGGACCGATGCAGTGCAACCAGGAGAGTGATGGTTTATAAAATTCTGTGTTCCCACCTCACTGACGTTTCATCAGCCAAACGCACCACACCAGAAGCTACCTGTTCATGTATGGCTCCTACACAAACCACGATGAAATTAAGTTTTAACAGATAAGACGAAGGATAGAATCCCTTTCCATGTAAGTGTTACAAGACTTCACTCAGCAACTTCTGCATCATTTGGAAATCTGCCTAATTTTGCATCAGGTATGTTCATAAACCTTAAATACAGTGCAGAACTAACTGGACACAGCCACCTTCAGTGAGGACAATCACAATGGGAAATGCTACAGATGTGGCAGCAGATAAAGGGCAAGGAGGAAGGAAAAAAAAAGCAGAGAGGAGGACATCATCTAGCACAAAGAAAATACTCTCTTATTTAAGAGAATAATCAGAAGGAAATTAAGTAATGATTACAAAATACAATTAGAATACTCTGCCTCTCTCCTGACTAATTGCTATCACTCCTCCTGCCTTGCTCATACTGGAAATTGTGTTGTTTAATTAAGAGGGTTCAGGGGAAGAGCACAGTAGGGCTTTGCAGATGTTAATCTGCCAAAGGGGAAAGCACAGAATCTTAAGAAAAGCCAACAGATGAAGAAGTAGGGCTGAACACCTGAAAAACCTACATCCAAAATGTATGTAGTTTACCTAAGATTGACTTTTCACTTACCCATTGATAGATGTTCTAGACATAAAAAGGCTAAAAATTGAGGACACAAAAGAGTGATAGAGCTGGATAAACAGCCAGCCTGATTTTTCAATGCTGTTGTTTAAGAAGATCTGCGTTCCTTGGTCAAGGTAACTCTGGACAAAAATAGGCTGAAGGGATTCAGACAACTGTTCTGTGTTGCAGACATACCACTAGAGAAAGAGACAAAGGATCATTAAAAAGTTCAGCAATATAAAAATAGAATCGTTAAAAAGAAATTGAACACAAAGAGAGCTATTATCAGTTTCTATAAATATAAAACTTTAGCTTTCCCTCAAGACTTTTAAACAGGCTTCAGGATTAATTAACTCAGATATGAACTGCAATCACATGCGGACAGACGACTCTATAAATAACACTTAAAATTTTATCTTAATCACTACATGGTACTTTAAAGAATTTTATAAAACAGCTTCACCAGAAAGCTAACACAAGTGCTATGGAACAGTACCACACTGGTAAAACAGTATGAAGTGGGACAGGGTTGTTTTCTGTCTCTGCTCTTAATTTGTCACTATGTATTCCCTGGAAAGATATCAGGAAGTGCATTTGAAATATTTTTCCCAGGAAGAAATAGAAAATCCCATCAGTACTTTGAAGAACAGCTCATCTGTCATTTTGCACTACTGGCCTACACTTCACTTACTAGTGCCAACAAGAACATCCACAAGCCTTTCACAACCATTTTGTCAATAAAGCTTATCCTCATCATCTCTACTAATAAAATAATCAGGTTCTCACATCTAAGAAATCATCAGTATCAGCTGAAAGACAGTTCTATACCTTCTTATTTGCAGAACGCAAAGCCCAAGTAAAAATGGGCTCATGATTACTTTCAATCTGTGTTACCTGGTAACAACCAGTCCTATACAAACTTATCACCCCCTTAAACCTCACAATAATGTTCCCTAATCTGTCTGCCTGTGTTTATGACGCAGATAAAAAGTCACAAGTATGCTAAAAAGGTGTGTAGATTTTCATCAGAAACTTCTTAAAGTGCAGTGCTAAGGACAGCACATGGCCAGCTGGGCTAACTGCATAATGATTCTCATCTAAAGCAGTGTCTGTAGCCATTATGAAGAATACATCCTCGTCCATTCACATTTGTAGTATGACAGAGAACAGTCAGTTACTGCATGTTTACCGTGTTGAGCAGCACAGTGGAACTTCCAGTCACTAATGTAACACGAATGATAAGGGTACAGGACTCTCATTTCAGTATCCTGCTGTTCCACACTAACAGTGCTGGCAAGCAGAGGGAAGCAGACAGCTGTAACAGGTCCGTGGCACTGGGTTCATTAACAGAGGCTCCACCAAACAGCACCAGCGCAGCAAGGTGTTCCAAGAGCCTCCAACAGAGGAGCAAACATACTCCAGCTTAAGTCTACTCTGAACACTATTTGCACTCTGGCTAAGCTTCTGACTGATCCAAGCCCTCAGCAGTACTTCCAAGCACACGTCATCTTTTCCTCTCAAGCCCAGATTGTATGAAAGCCCGCACCGTACTGCAGAGCCAGGCACAAGGATCCTCAGGACTGCTATCTACCAGTTTGGGTCTTTTCTCGCTGCAGCACAGACTAGTGATTCCCAAAAGGAATCCATAGCAAATAGTGAAAAAGCACTCGAGCAGCAGCCAAAGCATACTTTGCCCATCCATCTGCAGATGGCAGGAGCGGACAGTTTCATGGAGCTGAGGAGCAGGATGGGATGTGTGTCAGCTCCAGCAGTTATTGTGAGGCTGCTGCAGGTGCAGAGCAGTTCCTCACATTGACATTTTCAATGGAGAAGGAAATGCATCCCAGTACCAAAGCTGTGGGAAACACAGACTTTGATCCTCAAGAGATATGAACACCCATATGCAGTACCTGAGCTCACACTGCTGGGTTCTGCACTCACCTCTATTACTGACAGTTTCAGGATCAAACACAGAAACCAACTGCCCTGCAATTCCTGTCCCTAAGACTCCTGAACACTGTCACCAATGCTGGTGACAACTGTGAGAAGAGTTATTTCCAGGATTTAGAGGAGGGCTGTGAACAATGCCCAGTTCCTTCATGGTTAAACTCGCAAATAACAGTACTGGCTAAAACACCTATAACTATATAATGTTAGTGAGTATTAGAAGTGATACCAAATTACAGGGAAAAAAACTGACAAAATCCATCCAAAATTCAAATAAAATCAGTGGTGAAAAACAGCTTAATTCTGGAACTAATTCCTCAAAACAGAACTTGCTTTTGTATTCCTCCATGTTCAATTCCTCAACAGTTCTTTTCATGCCACAAGTTTCGTAACAGAAAGCACATCAATCTGGTACAGCACAATGGCAGAAAAACTACAGCATATCAAAGAAATCTAAAGAGAAGTTTTAAGTTACACAATAAAAAATACTATTGCCTAATACTGAAAGAAAACAAGAATATATGTTTTTAAACTAACTTACGTAAAACTAACAAAATCAGTGAGACTGCTGAGTGCCAGTACCAAGGCCCTCAACATGCTGTCCCAACTCATGAATAATGCCAGGCTGTAACCCTAAATCTTACTAAGCTCACCAAATGATCAATTAATAATCCAATTCAAATCCAGTGAAGCAGAAGCATAGGCTGCTGACAATTTACCTGTGAATGACACCACTGCCTTCACAGCATGTTTTCTTGATCTACTTATCTTTCTAGTACAGTTTTTTAACAGGAAGCACTTGCAAGTTTTCTTTGTTCAGCAGAAGGAAGGTTCTTTTTGTAAGCCCAGCCTCAGTTTCTGTCATTCAACCCATCCACTGAATGACCCAAACGCAGCTGAGCTCCCTCACCCCAGGACCGGGCTCACTGGCAGCAGGGCTCCGGCTGTCACTGCCCACTCAGAGCACGAAAACCCTCCGGTAACGGATCAGCCCGAAGAACCATCATGTACAAGTGCTCGTTCTTCCTTTGTACAGCAATCCTCGAGTACTTACATCACATCTTCTTCACTAGCTCAGCTATGCATATTTGACTTAGATAAAACATCTTCCTTCAGCTCTGCACGAGTTACCGCCGTCCTGAACTCCTGCCGGATTTTCAACAGCAGTTCAGCAAACCGCAGCACGGACCTGAACGTGCCTGAACAGCGATCCCACCTCAGAGCCCCCGCACGGCCTCGGCGCGGCTCCGACTTCCCCGCAGGCTCCCATCGCTGACCTTTCACCGCAGTTCTGTCACCCCGCAAACTCCACAGTGTCACCTACCGCCACTCAAGGCCTCCGCGCGCTTCGTCGCTTTTCGCACCCACAGGAACGACCTCCCTCCAGGACACACCGGCACTGACACGGCGCCCGCGCGACCGCAACCCCACCGCATCCACCGCAAGGCGCGGACTGGGCTCGGGCTGCGTTCGCTCAGCGGCACGGCGGCTCGGGCAGCCCGGCACCGCGACGCGGCTCCCCCGGCCGCCCATCCCCTCCCGCCCGCCGCCTCTCAGCCGAGGAGCGCACGGCAACTTTCTCGCCGGGAGGACGCCGCCGCTGCCGCTCTTTGTCTCGCCCGGGCCCGCGGCTCCTCAGCCGGCACAGGGCCGCCCTCCCCCCCCGGTAACTCGGGCCGCCCGGCCGCCGCCTCCCGCGGCGCCGCGCCGCTCCTCCAGGGCCCGGCGGGCGCGAGGAGGGGGAGCGGAGGGGCGGGCAGGACAGGGCAGGGCAGGGCAGGCGGAGGCCGCTCGGCCGTACCTGGTGGTTCTCCCCGGCGCCCGGAGCGGGTGGACCGTGGGTACCCATCATATTCGCGTAGAGAGACCTGGATAAAGGGCTCCGCAGGTACCTGGCGGGGCCAGCCCACATCCTCCTCCTCAGCGTCCACAGGAGCAGGGTGTAGCAGCCCAGCCAGAACGGCCAGAGTCTCATCGGGGGACGGGGCGCGCAGTCACCCCCTCCCGCGGCCGCCGCCTCCCCTCTCCATGGCAGCGGCGGCGCGCAGCCCGCCGAGCTCGGCGCCCCGCCAGGGCCCGCACGCGACACCTCGGGGCGGAACGCGGCGCCGCGGCGGCGGGGCCCGGCCGGACCGCTTCGCTGCGACACGCCGGGGCCTGGCGCGCACCCGCTCCGTCCCTTTCTCTCGCCGACCGCGGGGCGGGCGGGGCGCCGCTCTCAAACCGCAGAGCGGCGAATGGCGGCGTCCGATCCGCGCCGCTCCCACAAAGGTGGCGGTCCCACCCCGAGGCTCGCACCGCCTCCCTCGGGCGCGCACGTGCGTGGCCCCGCCCCGCCCTGACACCCGCGCGCGCCTGCGCAGAGCAGCCGGAGCGCGAGGCGCTGAGGCGCGAAGGAGCTGAGGGGAAAAAGCGGGGTTCGCATTGCCGGCATTAAATCACCCAATCATTCCTGTTGGAAGAGACCTCTAAGATGGCCATGTCCAACCCCAAACCATCCCCACCGTGCCACTGACCACGTCCCTCAGTGCCACGTCCCCGCTGTTCTTGAACACCTGCAGGGATGGCGACCAGCCCTCTCTGTGCAGCCGGTGCCTCGCTGCTCTTTCTGAGATTTTTCCTAATATCCAACCTCAACCTTCTCTGGTGCAACTTAAGCCATCGCCTCTTGCCATAGCGCTGTTACTTGGGAGCAGAGGCCAGCCCACCTCACCACAGCCTCCTTGCAGGGACTGAAGAAGGCTTTTCATACAGCAGCACGTGCCCTTGCTGGAACAGAAGCCATAGTTCCTGTCGGTTTGGGGTACATTACACCATTCTTCTCACTTATGTTTAAACAAACTTAGGTTATTCGTACTAAGTAGTGTAGTGAAGAATACCACATCCAGTTGAAAATAAGTGCAAAGCTAGACAAAACCTCTCTCATTAGTTGAAATTCCTTCTGTGAATGGTATCGGGGCTATTGCTTCTGGTCTCTCAGAAGAACGTTCCTTAACAACCTCTAAAAAAACCAATCTCTTTCCTTTAGGTCCAGTTTGAAAGTCCACCACCCTCATATCCTGATAGAAAGATGTGGGAAGTCAAACCACCACAGGACACAGCATCTACCTGGGAGATCCTCTGATCAAGCACTAATCAAATCCAGCCTTGGAAATCAACTTATTTTTCCCTTCAGGAATAAAACAGCTTTATAATCAAAATCCAAGGTGACAAAAGCTAAATTTGCTGCTTATTTAAACAAATATCTACTTGCAGTGTGTAAATGAATAAATAAAATTACTTCGTACATGTCAGTGACAAGGAAACATTTTATCAATGTAAAATACAGATAATTAATTTCATACTGAATAAGAGATACACTAGCTTTTGCCTTTGCATTGTTAATATAGAAACTGGGTATGTTTTAATAAGACATTTCAAACTTCCTGCTCAGGGTTACATTTGTTATTAATATTCTGCTGCAGTAGCTGGATCCTAAGCATATTTTTCTCTTAGTAGGGCATAAGGAATGCACTATTTGCACACATTTAGGTAGTAATTCTGATATGTTATTTGCACATCTGCTGGTGGAATTGTACCCTGCATCAATTGCTGGACAATCTAAGAAAACTACTCATTGTGTAAGTGTATGCATACATCATTCAAAGCAATGAGCATGCTTGGAGAGGATCTTTTTTAAAAATAATCACTTCTCCTTTTTCCTTAACTTTTTCGGTGGTCTTTCTTTTTTTTTTTTTTTTTTTTTTTTTTTTTTTTCTGTAGGTGGAACATTTCTATAACTGATTTAATATTTAGGGTGCAAAAGGTCCAAGACGCAGAGGTTTTGAATACTTACCTAGAAGGGAGTGTTTTTAAGACATTCTTAAGTATTCCAGGACATAAATCTGCAATTTTCCCAATTAAGCACAGAAATATACAACTTCATCTACTATTACTATTACATGTAAAAAAGTGACTGCTAGAAAGAAGGCTGTAAGAGAATCAAAATTGATACCTTTAGGAGAAAGGATTTTAGATAAGGTAACCTAGGAAATCCAGTTCTTTCACAAATGCCTCTTGGTGTCTGTGGGTCCATCCAATTCTTTAGACTGGACACAACTGAGACTCCCCCAGTCTTGGCTGTATGTTCCTTTACAAAACCTTCTTCCTGAGCTGATAGGATAGAGCTGATAATTATTTGTGGAGATGTGGCTTATCTTAACTGTTCCTTTCCCTTCCTTCTTGTCTTTCCTGACAGCTCCGATTAAGATACACAACTCTACTCTAATGTAAACATCCCACTAGCCATATCAACCTAATGTATTCATGAATTACTGAGCAGTTTCAAAGTCACAGAAGGATATTAAAAAGGCCATTTTGTACAAAACAAGAACAGAGCCAGCTGTAAGCTCCACAAAAAAAGAATCTGATTTTTTCCTACCTAAATACTTTTTCACATTATTTACTCTTTTTTTCAGATCATAACTAATCACACAGTAACATTTCTTACTATTAAACAATATCACTTTAAATTTGATAGACACCTTTACTTATCAATTTTCAATAGATATTATATTACAGTAATATTGTGTATTATTGTGTCATATTGTCTATTAAGATCAAAATTCTCAGAATTTATAAAGAAATTCTATGAAGTAATGAGATTAAAGCATTACACTTCCAATCCTCTGAACTTATCAAAACACTTCCTATTCTATATTATACATACTTATATTTCCATTATCATTATGAAGCTATTTTAAAAAATGTTAAACTATCGAGAATAAATTGTGGCATTTTTCCAGCAGTAAGACTTCAAACTCAGATACTATGAGCTAATAGGGAGAGAAAGCAGGCAAACCAGCTGTTAAAAGACACTGAACTTTTGAATTGGATCATCCCTTACTTGATTCACAGCCAAAAACAACCATGTTGGTTTAGCAAAGGATAACAAAGTTTAATGAATGACAGAGAAATGGAGAACAAATTATGTCGATCATAAAATACTGTCAACTTCCTATCACTATTTCTTGTAGTAAGACTGCCACCTCAATTAAAGCCAGTTTTTCACTTTTTTTTTAGACTGATTATGGGTGTGATTAAATATGCTTTCTTTCTCCTGCCCTCATAGCAAGAGTATTAGGACAGCATGTGTGAAACAGAGATAGGATTCAATGTTTCTGAAATTGTATAAAAAACTTTATTCTAGAAAAATCACAGGATCCATTCAAAAACTTGCCTGAAAACATTTTTGTAAGGCTAAATCAGAAATTAACATCAACTGGATGAATCATTAATTAATTAAATTCAACCGTGAGCACATCAAACGAATTTGCCAAACTAAAACTACTAAGCAAGTAGAGTTTGACTTAATGTGTGTACTAAGACTTGAACCAACTAACTGAACACTGCTATATCCATATGCTAACGTTTTTCTTACCACAGTGACATTTTGTATAGGCTAACAACGCTGTACCTCAAAACAATTTTCCCATTGAAAAAGCCAGGAACTTCATCTACCTGCCACCAAGTGCAGACATTTTGAAAGCCAAAGAGGAAGTATGGAGCCTTTTCCCTAACACCTAATTGAATAACATTTTAATCTAATTTAGTTTTACAGATTTTTTACAGGACCTCTTCCTGTAGCAGCTGGCAGATTTGAGTCGATACTGGTGAGCTGGACATCAGCTACATCTTCATCTCTCTGCCATCCCTGAGGGATGTCCCTCTGGGCTCTTATGGCCTAACCTCAGAGAGCTGACATTTTATCAGGTATGACAGAATTCATCCTCCACCTTTCAGAACATACATCCCTCAAATTCCAAGTGCTGAGTTGGGATTCTCTCACCTGATCTGCCACATCCATTCTTCAAAGCAGGTAACAGTGACCAGTATATACCAAAAATGACCTTAGTAGTAATTAGGGATAAATCACAATACATTTAAATAACTCAACTCAAAAACCCCTCTATATAGGCTCATCATTAAGGCTGAATGTGAATTGTTATATTACATTACAGAGAAGGGTGCAATATTATTGAAGTGGCTCAAACTATATTTGGTCTAACAGTCCACTTAAGGCAATCTTGCTTTTTCACATTTAAAATATGCTAAGTCTTTTGTGGTATGGTTCATCAGATGATTTAATGACCAACAGTTAAATATTTAGTATGCAGCTGTCATGTGACTATTCTGGATTGAAAAGGGAGTCCACGTCAGGATCTGTAGGACTGCAATGCAAAGTGGAACCAGACAGATCAAATAGAACATGGCATCATGAAGACCTAAAAACAGACTGGTAAAAACATGAAAACATAGCTTTCAAGATGAAGAAGACAAACAATTGATTTCTACGGTCATTTCATAACAAATTATTTTAAAGCATTCATCTTAAATATTCACATACACATTGCTGTGAACAATCAATTCTAAATAGAAGAAATATCTCAGATATCAAATATATTTCAGTTATATTTTCTGATTCTACATACAGATATATATTTTATAGTGTTTACCTCTCATAATAGCTGAGAGGAAATGAGATAACTACTTGACTACACATCTGTGTTATTTAATACAGAAAATAATTTAAAGCAATGTGATTCAATTATAGAACACAGCATCAGAAAAGGTTTAGTGACACTGAATGTTCTGGAAGAGAAGAAAAACTGTAATAGAAGCAAACATTTTAATATGAAATTATTTCACATCTGAACTACTAGCTATCCACATAGTATGTTACGACAGTTGCTGAATGCAAGATGGGAATTATGATTAATGCACAAAACTCAGGTATGGTGTAATAAATTGGCTGCTTGAAATAGAAAGACTAATTTCATTTCATTGTTTTGAAATAAATTTTTACAAGATAATGGAAACCACTAACATAATACACAGATTCTCATTCATTTTCCTGAATGAATGGTATTTCTTGATCTAAATCTTCTTAAGGAATAAAAGCATCAATACCTATGAATCAAAAAGGAGAATAAAAGAGATAGATAACTCTTCTTGTGTTATCCAGCATGGTTTCTGACATCTCAAAGCACACATTCTGGCATTCGTCTAGTAACTAGAATCATCTACTGACATTCTGTTCATTATTGAATTTTAATTACTTAAATATCAGGGAAGTCAACTCAAGCTGCGAAACAGGGCCTAAATTATCTTTCAGAAAATCAGTTTTTGTTATTTACTTTTTTCTTAGCATTCAGGAATGAGGATTGGAGACTCAGAACAGCTATGGACATGATGCAAAAAGCCTTGAAATTTGTGAATGAAAGTCTTGTAAAATTGAGCAGGGTTTTGAATAAAATCTAAGCATTTATCTAAATCATAAAAGAATGAACTCATCTCTCACTGTATTTAACAGAAGTATGCTCCCAATCTCCAACATAACCCCAGCATAACCTAGATTTATTCCTTAGTACATACATACACACACCCACACCGATCACAGTTTATCTCAAATCATGTACATGCTAATGCTCTATAAGGAAACAAAAAACCACAGGCTCTCAGATGAATTACTTAGTCACTTAGGCAATCACATTTAAGAAATGCAAACTGTTAACTAGCAGGTCACTGGTCCACAGCCAACATTTATTGGCAGTGACAACAATTTACCACTTGGAAGTTGTTTACTGGCCTGAATTCAATTGCATTTTCAGCACAACTAAACAGGGGCTGCATCGTGCACACCACCATCACAACTGCCAGTGGTTACTGATATCAGCAGCGCTGGCAGGGATGCCTTAGACAGATTTCTTACCCATTGAAGTTGAAGACAGACACAGTTAACAGCATGGTGGGGTTTGTACTCTGCCAGCTCTACACACTAAAGAGGACTGCAGTTTTGAACACTAAATTCTTCCGTGTTTATACAAAAGAAGGGACAAAAAAGAAAGAACATCTGCCAAATTACTGACTTTCACAAGTGCAATCCTGGTCTGGTTTCAGTGGAACAATTCTGGTTTATGAAAATAATAATATCAATTGTTGTGTTAAAACCTCAAGTTATGACAAATATCTATAGTAGAGAGAACAATGAATGGGGAAAATATTTCATTAAGGGGTTGGGATAAATCAAGAGCAGAGCTCACGTTTTGTCACAGTAATGAGTTGTACCAGTAACTAACAAAGTTTTCCATCTTCAGTCATTTTTGCACATGCAGGAATAAAACACAGTCTGTCCCTAGGCTTCCCTCGGTCTGAACAGAAAGTGATGCAGTCCAGCAATTCAATACAAATGCATCAACAAAGTGCCGCTAAGAGCCCTTCACTGAAGGACAAATTGAAAAGCACGTTTGCAGAAGTTAGCTGCTGTTGCAGCAGCTCTCCAGATGAGGGCGTTTTTAAACTACGTATCTTTTTAATTGCATAACAAAATAAAGTGATAATGAGTTTAAAAAAAAAAAAATCAAGCCATAGGGGATGGGTAATATTTGATGTCACAATGTTGGATTAAAAGTAAAAAACTGGCAACTACAACCACTCTGTCTACAAACTCTTCCTCAAGTTTTAAGGATATCACATTAAAAAACAAAAGCAAAAATAATTCTGAAGCTAATTTTCACTACAAAATGCTCAACTTAAGTGGAGCTACAGCATCCCCTAAGAATGTGGTATAATTAATATATTAATGTAGAATGCATTCAGAATCACAGAACTGGATTTGTCCTAAGGAAGAAGGCATTACTGCTGTCTAGGGTACTGTCATTGAAGCAGAACTGAACACTGGTACAGGTAAGTAAAAAGGTGGTGGTGCTGATGGTCAGCTGAAAGGTTTCAGCACGGGGAAGAGCAGAACGGACTAGGTCTCTGAAATGCTTGGATAAGTGAGCATATAATGACCAGCCCAGAAAGTTATATTTTGTAATATCATATTTTCATTTATTCTTCCCCAGAGAGGTTACAGGATTTGTGAACAAGCTGGTAGAAACATCCAATTACTAAGATCAAATAGGGATGGACAAATTTGGAGTTCAGGGCTGATGTGCACGTATGCATTGATATATACAGAGAATGCATGCAGACTGCTTCATGCCTGAGAAATTCTTTTTGAGGGGATAGGAATGATGATAGACAGACAATATATTTGTGATGTTCTTTGAATCTCAGCTTTGTACCTGTTTCTTGCACTTAAATAAATCAAATTTCAACATCACTCATTGGAAAATACAGATTTCAGAAAGTGAGCATTCAAAGTATTTTGACTTTATAGTCAATAAATGTATTGTTCTTGTAGTCCAGACTCTACAAATTGGGCAAAAATTTAGAATACTGTGATTTTGAATCATTCCTCTAATTAAGTTGGATCAGATCTGCAGTTTTCATACTTCAAATCTGAACTTCTCTGAACCTTCCAGATTAATATATTCAGCCCTCTCACAATCTAACATCCACTAACTCACATCGCTCTTCTGCAAAAATCAGTAATCTAATTTGACATTATAATGAGATTCGTGTCCTCCTCACAACTTCTTTCTGGTTGGCTATCTTCAGAATGCATCAAAATCAAAGGAACTGTTCTCAGGCATAGTCTTAAACTTAAGCCTTCTTTATGCAGGATGCTTTTCAGAAGACCACCTGTTGTCCTTTTATGCTGTACTTTTCTTCTTTTTTATTTTAGAAAATTCCTCAAATATAAAACATTTTCCCAACATTAGAGGACACAAAATCAGTCTCTTCTCCTTGGAGACCTACCTTTGCAGAAGTCTGTACACAATTGTCTTCTATGCATTTTTTAAACTCTCTACACAGAACTTAGAGGAGCTATATAGTTCCTAGGATATCTATGTTGTTCTTTCAAGCAAATCCCTATCAGACTGATTTTTGCCTTTTAGTCCTGGCTCCAGATATTCTTTATGTTGTCACTTCTTCTTGTTGGTCATAAAAGTCTATGACCTTTTTAGTGTAAACCCTGATAATTTGTTTTTATAAAAGTCCATGCATTTATAACGTGTTAACTAGCAACCACAGCTTTATGCTCCATATTAAGGTCTCTAGGGAAAGCAATGAAATCATTAGCATTAGAATGGTAAGTAGTACTGAAGTCAAAATGATACTCCTTGATGGAAATTCCCTCCCTTCAGTGATTAAACTGCTTTCTCTCAAATTTAAAAAAAAGAAAAAAAAAAAAAAATACAGCAGCCAGGACTGCATCTATCTTAATAAGAAATATTTGGTAATCTCAAACATTTCTTTTTATTTTTCACAGAGAACCAAAACTGGCTAAATATTGCAATGTATCCTTTTTTCCCCCCTCAAAATTAGGTAGGTATCCTCAGATATATTGCTTGATAGAAGGTTATTCTTAAAAACAAACAAAACAAAAACAACAAACTAGAAAATATTTCTATTTCTACCTAACAACAAAAAATACACACAGAAAACTTTTTATGAAGTGCAGCTGATGAAAATTAACAGCAGATTAATGTGTTTTTTATATGACAGGATTATTTCCCTTTAGTTTCTCTGATTTAAAGTATTCCTTTTGAACTCACCTTGGATCAGGCTGAGCAACTTCATTATTCAAGTTCTCATAACCAAATTGATTCAGTATTGTAACCACAAGCATTGGAGCCAAAGACTGGGCAGGCTTGGTAAATAAAGCATTGGTACCAAAAACCATAGAGGAAAGCGGTGATCTAGATATTTCAGAAAATAAAAATACACAATTATAACAGTGATACTTCAAATCCTGTTAATATGCAAATGCTAGCTTTGTCTTTCATACATTTCATACGCTGACCAGCTATCATAACAAAATTTCATTTTCTGTGGAAATAAAAGGTAAAAAACCTCTGGGCTTCTTACAACTTGGCCCCAGCTCTGAAATGACTTGCACTCAAGTTCAACTGTTAGCTCTGAAATAAAGCTAACCTGAACAGCACGTGGAAAATTAGTTATTCTTTAAGAATACACTTGTGAGGCCAAAAAAGGAAGTGCTGCACCAGTTCTCACCTTGAGGGTGAAGTCCTTTAATACCCTTTCACCGAGATTGAATCTGCACTAATGCAATCATTGATGGAACCAGCAGGAAGTTATTTGCACCTTGATATAAATCCCAGAGATCTATCAGTTGTCATATGCAAGGTCTCTGCAGGTTTTATCTTGGATTTCTTTTCAGAGAGATAACAGCAGCCACTTAGACTTTGAAATTTGCACCCTGAGTAGCACAGGTTAAACTTTCTAAAATCTTTTTCTGTGTCAGAAAGGTGACAATGGATGCACTGGATTACAAAATAATTCAATTTAAGCTGACATGAATAAACACACAAAAAAAAAAAAAAACCATGAAGAACTTGGTGTATACAACAGTGCAATTAAAACTAGAAACGGCCTGATAAATTGTTCAAATTACTCTGCTGAAATAACTGCAGGAAACTTCATTCAAGTTCTTTATTTGTGCTACGTTGTTCTCACAGGACGTGCTTCTGTGACAAGCACCCAGATCACTTACTGCCTCTACTTTGACATAATCCAATTTACTGAAGAGTAGCATGGCAAATATACAGCATCTTTCAAGAAAAACAGTTAAGACTGACATACCTTCGCTTGTGCTTGATTAAATCTGCATCAACAATATCTGCCAAAGGCAAATTGAACAAACTAAACGAAGCTTGTACAATTACCCTAAAGGAAGACAGAACATTTAAAATTTTTTAAAAACACATTTTCATAATACAAAATGGTAATTGATGCCTAATCTGACATGCAGGCACATACACCCAACCACACTAACAGTCCTGCAAACACACAAAGCTGACACTAAAACACAGCAATATGTTTTGAAACAAACTCTGAAAGCAGAATCACAGAATGGCCAGGGTTGGAAGGGACCTCAAGGACCCTCACTCTCCAACCTCCCTGCCACATGCAGGGCCACCAACCTCCCCATTTAATACCAGACCAGGCTGCCCAGGGCCCCATCCAACCTGGCCTTGAACACTTTCAGGGATGGGGCATCCACAGCCTCTCTGGGCAGCTGTTCCAGCACCTCACCACTCTCTCTCTGTAAAGAACTTCCCCTGATGTCCAACCTAAATCTCCCTTCCCTCAGCTTAAAACCATTTCCCCTTGTCCTGCAGTTATCTACCCTTTCAAAGAGTTGATTCCCCTCCCCTCCTGTTTATAGGCTGCCTTAAGGTATTGAAATGCTGCAATGAGGTCACCCCACAGCCTTCTTTTCTCCAGGCTGAACAAGCCCAGCTCCCTCAGCCTGTCCTCATAGGAGAGGTGCTCCAGTCCCCCGATCATCTTCATGGCCCTCCTCTGGACCCTCTCCAACAGCTCCCTGTCTTTCTTGTACTGGGGGCTTTTTTCTACTGAGGGTTTTTTCACCCCTTCTTTTTCCTGGACACTGATGAAAAAAGTCATAAATACTTGCTGGATGTTATCACCAAACATTATTTAAAATGACACGAAGAAAAGACACGCTAAAGAAAGAAAAACTGCAAATTTCCTATTGAAGTCTGAGAACAACTGGAGAGGACTGGAAAGATTAGATGTAAGACAAACTTCAAAGTAGAATGAGAACAGTAAAAAAAAAACAAACTTATATGTATTCCTATACACATTCACATTTTGCATACATATATATGTATATATGTTCATACATACACAAATCTGATCTTAGTAAAACTGCTGAACTGAAACTATATTCAAATAATAGAATTTCTTCATTTCATTACATTTTGGCTGTGATTAGCTTGTACTTACAAGAGGCTATGAACAATTAGCACTGTCAACAGCCTTTAGGTACCTTATAAGATTTTCCTGGGGAAATCCAAATATATCTTCATCATTTAAAGTACGCAGGTAATGAAATGCAATTTATTGGCCACACAGCTCAGTGTTACAGTAGCCCATGAAATACTGAAAATGAGAATGAAAACAGGGGGAAAAAAAAGGGTAGGAAAGAACATGTAGAAATGCAGCAATGTAACAGGAAACACAGAGAGAAAAATGAACTGATGCATACAAGCAGGTCTTCATTTTTAATTAAATTTTTGCATATGTAATAATATACTTCCTCAATGCAAGTTCTATTTCTTGGCATCATACTTCCCCACTATCACTGAAAATGCGACTTAGTACTGGTTATCTAATGGATACTTGACTTATTGGTACTTGTTTTGCAGTGCAACCCACAAGTGTTCATTCAGTATCAAATGAGGTCTGAGGCTCTCCAGCAAACACTGTCTGAAGAGAGTTTCTCTACTGAGATCTCTGTTTCTGTGATTGAAAAGAGGTTCTGCTTCTCTTGAATTTGAATTTGCCTCATGTTAAAACAGAGATATGGCTGAAGGGATTTGGCTGCAAACCTTAGTTACTTTTCATGGGTTTGGGTTTTATGTGTTGCTTTGTTTTTTCTTTGGTTGGATTTTAAGAAGAAATTAAAAGCTGAAGTGAAAGCTGAAAGAAGTTTTCAGTTTCCTGACAGATGAAACAGACCAGAAAGAAAGAAGAAGAAAAAAAAAAGCAGCGTTAAAATCTTTATGCTACAGAAACAGGTGTCCACTCTGTTGAAATTATTTAACTGGTATGTATGAAAAAAGAAAGGTACTTACTTACATGTTTGTTGTGAGATAAAATGCCAAGAGATAATAATGTCCTGGCCCTAGAACAAACATGACAGCAGCAGCTACTCCTTCAAAGTAAAAGGAAAATAAGATGATTCTGTAATAACCAAACTTCTTCAATGAAGCATGACTGAGAAGAACAAGGCACTGAAAAGAAATACAAAATATATGAGGCAAAGACATAGTACAGTATTTCAGCATTAGGAGACCTTTCAAGGACAGAAAGACACAAATAAATCATTACTGCACGTCAAAGGAGAAGGAAAAAAGCTCCCTAAAAAGTACAAACCAAATAAAAACATAAGAATTGAACAAAGGGAAATATCTAGTGGATCACTGTCTGTTAGCCTTACCAGGTATGAATGGTCCTGTCACTCCAGCTAGATAGAAACGATCACATCCCCAGGAAAGTACTACTCCCTACATTGCCTAACTATTATTTAATGCCCACATTAACAGCGAGGGAAAACAAATCTGGGGAGTTGGTATAATAAGAAGATCTGATTGTAAGAAACTAAACATACTGTCCCCCAAGGCTGTTCTCTGGTTTTTGCAGAACTGTGCTCATACGATGCATTCTAAGATGTTGTGTGTTCTTGTAAGAACCACGATCTTCTCTCTGTAACTGAGAAATGGCCTGGTCTCAGGAAGCACCATTTAGCACCCTTCTTACCTGCATATTTTTAAAATAGCACGTTTCTAAGAAAAACAGTAACTTAGTAATGCCTTACATTTAAATTTGTTTGCCTTTGTTTCAGCAACAGGCTGACCCTGAAAGGCAGGTTTTACTCTTTGCACCCACTGCTACAAGGAACCTCAGACAGAAGCTGTAGCCCATCGCAGCACAGAGCTCTGGAGCAGTCTGTAAGAAGGTGCTTTGTTTTACAGGGGTTGGGTGCTCTTCCAGTAGGTGAAGCTCAGGACATTGCCACCAGAGAATTCTCTTATTATATCTTGAACTCAAAGGGACAAAACCTGAGAGAAAAAGGTCACAGCACATACTATGGTTCAGTGACCGCCGAGACAAAGCGTCTCTGGGGAGCAGAGAGAAATGCATCTTCTGAAAGATTGTTTGCTTCACACTGTCACACTGATTTCACCCACACTGGTGACTGCTGTATCTGAGTGTATTTCAGCTTTCCTTACTTCTGAAGTTTCTGATTTACTTTCAAAGTTCGTACTTGTTTGAGCTATAGAGAAAAAAAAAAACAAAAAAAAACACCCTAAAACCTGTGGCAAAGATTACAGTTGGGATGATTAATATTCAATTTATAGAACAGAAAAGATATGCATAAGATTCTGAGGGAAAAAAGTCAATGACTCCGTGTTATACATGCAAAAGCCAAAAAAGTAACCGAAATAGAACTGTGAATTCCAATTGCTCCTTCTTCTAAGTTCTTCCTACAGAAAAGCATTACAACTTAAAGAACATTAATTTTCAGAAATTCCCAGCACCATCAGTACCTGTGCTGGAAGTCTACATTCTCAGCTTTTGAGAAATCCAGCAAGTAAACACAAGGAAAGTTTTAAAAATCCAGTGCAAGATGTTAGAAGGGAAGAAACAACAATTTTTTTTATTCACTGCAGACAAGAGTGTTTGCACTCTGTGGGACACATTTTTGCTGCCTTTCTTTTGCTCACACGTTACTACTGGTTTGGGTTCTCCTTTCTTTTATGTTTAATTCCTCCTATCCCCATCCCTGCTGGAGTCATGAAACCATCTTTCCCCAAACCCAGTGTACATAGCAAGACAGCAAACAAAAAAAGGAATGGGAATGTATTACCCCCCAAAGCAGCGAGTTTTGTTTTGTTCCTATGACTGAGATACGTATTTCAACAATGCCCTTAATACCCAACAATTTTTCCAGTGCTTTGTTTCAAAAACTTACCAAAGAGATTATTCTTTCATCAGATACTGCAAATCAAAATCAAAGAGAGAAGTACTCCAAATTCTACATATTTTGCTTATAGAAACTTTTTATCTTGGCCACGTTTTTCTTCAGTTACACTTAGGTGTTATGAGCCCTGTAGGACTCGCTGTATGCTCACATTTCACCTTCTTGTAAAATGATTTTCTACTGAGACAAGCCTGCTTGTCCCTTCTCACTAACCCAGCCTTCCACCTGGTTAGACTGTACCTATGGGTATTCTCTTCTTTTAGAGCATTGGTGGACTAGATTTGCTTCTCAGTATGGCCAATCGTTCATGTAGGATACAGCATTTTTTCAACAAGCAGTGTAAACGGATACCTTAATCTAATGAGGACAGACAAAACACCACATTCTTGTATTCTGAAATTCAAAACATGATCCTGCCTACCTGAGGACAAATGAAGCCTGCTCCATACATGATGCTTCTTATAGAAGAAGAAAGGACATCCTGAGGAATGAGACTATCCGCAAAGATCATCATAAAATTGTTGCAGAAGGCTAAGTGGAAAACTTGGAAGAAGTTCATAGTAACAAAAAATAAGAAGTTTTTCTCTGTCATAATCTGTTTGGTTAATGAGATCACCGAGGACCAGGAGAGAGCTCTGTCACCATCTCCTCGATCAGCATTCTCGGCAAGAATTCCTCTCTGCTCATACTGACTGGTACTGTATTTGCCTGTGTAATACATACAAGCTGTTGCTAATGCTGCAATCAAAACAGCAAAAGCCTGAAAATAAGCAAAATTTTCCATATTATCTGATATCAGGCCACAAAAGAGAACGCTTGTTGACCCGATTAATGTTGCTACTTGGTTGTATTTTATAAGCTGAAGCCTGCTTTCATGTCTTGTTGAAATTTCTGCAAAGAGCGCGCACTGTGCGAGCAGCACAAAGGTAAGCAAACCATCAAAAGCACATAATGCAACAATGAGGTGGAGCCCACTCAGCCAGTCACCTTCTTCATAATGTCTCCAAGGAAACCAAGGAAGCAAAAAGGCTAACGCGTACAACGGAGCTCCGTACAGAATTGAAAACTGGCGCCTGGCGCAGCACGGCAACTGGGAGTTGTCTTGAATATAGCCAAAAAGTGGATCATTGATGGCGTTCCATATCATAAATACAACCTGGGACAAACACAGCACAACTTATCAGCAGTGTGTTTTCTGCAGAGGTTATACAAGCAAGAAGTAATAAACACCGTTTTATTTACAGAATCTCTGTTTAAAGAATAAGAGATGAAAGAGCAAAAACAAACTTGAGATCAAATTATCAAAAGTATTTAAAGGTTTACAGTGATTATGAAATAGAATAAAAAAAGAAAGCATAAGGAGGCAGTGCCCAATGCCAGGTGAACCCCCATGGCTACAACCTCACTCCTCTGAAGCTCCTACTTGCACACTCATTGCAAGTGATGCAGAACATGAGCCAGCTCGTTGCCTTCTGGAATTTACAGCAGGAGCTGCACACCCAGCTAAGGACTTGCAGAACTGGGGCAATATCTAAGTACTTGAACAAGCCATAGGAAAGCACTAGTCAAAAACGTACCTCTGGAGCTGAGATGCAAGATTAGCTTAAAAGATTACTTCAAACTAATCTTCCCAGCAATTAAACTTTGAGATTTTTGTCCGCAGATTGTATACAATGTGTTTCATTTGTACATATACTTGCATATGCAATAACAAAATTTAAAAGGAAGGTACTGTATTTGCTTTGCATTCAAAAGGAAGTAATAAATAAAAAAAACCACCACAAAACAAACAAAAAAACTTCACCTTTGTTACAATATCACAGATGCAAACACGCCATGAAAACCAACACATCCATTGTACAATACCTGTGCTTGATGAAATGCTACTTCTGAAATTCTGTATCGGTTTAGGAAAAGCTTGACGTAGTAGAAATTAAAGATACTGTTCATCATCCCAGCACCCAACGTGGTCATGGAGTATGCCAGAGCATTGGGGTGGATTTCCAAAGCCAACTTCATCTTCCCAACTGTGTGAGCCTCTTCTTCCTCAAGGTACAGGAAAGAATTATAATAGTTGGTTAAATAATTTTCCAAAGTCAAATGATGTGGGAGATTCATATCAGAGGTGTGGAAATGGATTCTAGCGGGAAAATCACATCCTCACTTCCTCGTGATAAGACACTGAGCACAAAACCACACAGGTGCAAAATATCAACTCAGTGACATTTCTAAACCTCATCAGTGAAAAGTCAATAGAACACACAGACAAAATTTTAAGGGAATAATTTCTGCACTGCGCACATAAAAATTAGCTGTTGCAAAGATTAATTCTGGTGCAGAGGTCAAAGTAATTGCACACACTTTACATCTTGCTGGCTACGTAGTTTTAAAGCTACGAAGCTCTGTGCAGGAATGAAGTGAGTCAGCCCACAGCCCTACACGTTCCATTGCTGTGAATGTCAAAATGCAGCGAACACTTGGAGAAGCATTCCTTTCAAAACAAAGTTTTGGGTTTGTATTTTTAAATGCTAATAGTTAATGAACATGGAAGCAATACTTACACCTAACAAACAAATCGGACATGAACAGAAACCTCAGAGCCACCCAAACACTTTTTAACAGTCTAAACATTTTCATACTAGAGGAGACAGCATGTAAACAAAATCCAGAAAGTGACTCATGCAGAGCAGTCCAGCATTAAAGTATGTCCAAATAACAGAGATTCTTTAACTCAGAGCTCTCTGATAAATCAAACAGAGCTTCAGCCAACAGCTCTCTGAGTTGCTGACTTCTTCCACGTGTCTCCAGCAAGTAAATGAAATATGACTGCTGCAAAGCACCCTGCGGAGACAGCCAGCTCCAGGGAACCCCCCCTTCTAAAGCAAAGATTCCCTTTATGGTTCTTGACCAGATTTGATTCCAGAATCCCAATACAAAAATGTTTCTCTCGGGTCACTCTTTCTAACCGAGGCTTTATCCATCTTAACATCTCTTTAAGAGCAGCTATTTGCCATTCCTTTGGAGACACTTCAGGCTCACATTTCAGCCTTAATACTTGCTAACTGCAGAGCTGCACAACCTGCTGCCAGCAGTGCACCCCTTCCTCCTCCGCACCACGCTAACAAGTTTATCCAACGTGCAATTTTCAAACAGCCATCCAAAGGTCATTTATTTGTAAGAACATGACTCAATTTTCAGATAATTGAGTGTGACTGTCACACGTGTCATCAAATTCATTTTCCAGAGAATTTTCCATTTCCAGGTGATTACGCTTCGCACCTCTGTAACAAGTTTGGTTTCGTAAACTGAACTGAGGAACCTACGTTACTGGAAAGGTGCCCACGTGAAATGTTTATGCTTAAGAAGAGGGATATCAAAAACTGCGAAAGGTGATTATGGATAACATCGTGTTCTTTTTAAAACTGTGTATCCACATCTTCACAAGTACGCTTAACGATGTCGGTGTGAGACCTCGGGGCTTTTGGAAAGCCACAGCCCAGCTGTAACCCTGTAGGTTTCCAGTGGAGAACTGCGGGCCTCTCCTCGGATTCCGCGAGCACTGAGATAAACGCTCAGCATTAACATTCTCAAGTCGTATTTGACTCAGTTCCTTCCTACGCACAAATAAGAGAGAAATTGCTCCCGTCGCTCCAAAGAACTTACAAGTATCATTTCTTCTACAACAGCCTCCTAACAATGCGCCGACCCGCCTCCAGCGCCATGACTCAGTGCAGCGCAGGATCCGACGCGGCTCCTGCACTAACGCTACGTCTGCTCCCGCGCCTGGCGTACGAATCGGCTCAGCGGGAAGCTGAGGTTTCCCGCTTCCCTTCCCCAAAGATGTGCTCTTTAATTGTGCAACAGTGAAACACGCGTGAGCCTCCCGCAGAGCCGCAGATCGCGCCGCCCGCACCACCTCTCGTGCGGCTCCTCGCTGCAGCGCGGCGCCGAGGGCAGAGCGGAGAAGCGGCGCTTCCCGCGTCCTCAGGGGGAGCGCCGAGGGGAAGCGCCGCCGAAAGGAAACCCTGCGGGGGGCAGACGCTCGCAGCGCTCCCGGGGCTCCCGAACCCGCGGGGATCCGAGCTGCCGCCCGCTCGGAGCTGCCCGGCGCCGAGGGGCGCGGCTCTCCGCCTTGCGGAAGCGCACAGCGAGCGCCCTCCGCTCCGCGCCCCGGCGCAGAGCCTTCCCTCGTTCCCCGGGCAGCGGCGGGAAGGCGGTGAGGGGCTGCGCGCGTGGAGAGCGGGAGCCGGGCACCGCCTCACGGGGCACCGCGGGGACTCCCGGCACGGCCGATGAGATGCCGCGCCCTTCCCCGCGCCCGGGCGCGCCGTGCCACCTCCGCCGCACCGGAGCCCCCCCACGGCGACCGCTCCCCGCCGCGAGCGCCTCGAGCCCCCGCCACCACCGCCCCTTCCGCGGGCACCGACCGACCTCCTCCGCCCGGAGGCTGCGCAGCGGGCCGCTGGGGCGGGGCATGCCGGCCAGGGCCAACCCCTCCTTCTCTCTCATTGGCCGCCTGCCGCGGGCCCGCCTCCTGGTTGGCCGGCGCTCCTTTCGATCTGCCCGGCGGGCGGCTCCCCATTGGCTCTCGGCAGAGGAGGCGAGGGCGTAGTGTTTGAATCGCGGGCCGACGGTGGGCGGGCGGCTGCAGCGTGCCACGTTGTCGCCGGCGGCTCCGCGCAGCCCGACCAGAAGGGGGAGAGGTTCGGCAAAGTCCGGAAACGCTCGGCAATGGCCGGAGGCGGCTTTTAAGGCGAGGAGCGGCTGCCGGCTCGCCCTGCCCCGCTGCCGCCCGGCGCGAGGTGAGCGCTGCGCCCCGTCCGCCAGGGAAGGGCGCGATGCTGGCCGACAGCCTGGTGGAGGAGTTCGAGATCCGCGAGGATGAGCCGTGGTACGACCAGCAGGACCTGCAGCAAGGTGAGCGGCGGGGGGCGTGCGGGGAGGGCGGGCGAGGGAGCGCGGGGCGGCGGGAGCCGGAGCCGCGGCGGGGCGGACCCGGGGGTCGCGCGGGAGGGGCGCGGGGCGGCGGCGGAGCGCGGGGCGCCCGCGGGGCGGGAGGTGGGGACCGCCGGTACCGGCGCCGCGCGGCCGTCTTTGTCTGACGGAGCGGCGGCTGCGGCCGTGGCCGGGCCCCTGCCGGCAGCGGGGCGGCTCCGGGGTGCGCGCCCGGCGGGGCACGGCCGGGTAGGGGCAGCGCGGCCCCGCGGGACGGAGAAACGTTACCGGTGGAGCCGCGGGCGTACAGCGATGTAACTGCGTTAAAAGTCATCTGCGGACGCGGTGACGGAAAGGACGTGCCGTTTCCTTCGGAGCTCGCTGGCGTGCGCGACGGGCGTCCGCTTCGTTTGGGCGCTAACTCGGGATCCGCTGTAAAAGGCAGCAATGAGTCCCGAACGGCGCTCCGGAGCGGCACGAACCGCCCCGACGGCAGCGCTGGGCGGGCAGGAGCCGCTCCGTGCGTGGGGCGTATATGGGGGTGTGTGGGGTATCTGGGGTGCGTGGGGGGTATGTGGTGCATATGGTGCCTATGGACGGCCCGCAGCGCGCAGGGATGCTGTCGCGGCCACAGGTTTTAAAGAAATCCCTTTAAATGAGATCCTGGAGCCATTGTTTGCTGTCAAAAGGATGAGTTGAACATTTGAAGACAGGGTTTGGTATTTTTACCGCGTCGGTATTCGTGGTAGAAGACCTGCAGCGCGGATCCGTGCTGCGCGGTGCCGGACCTCCTGCCCTACTGCTTTAACTCCGCTTCTTCCTCCCGTGAGTGAATGCTCAGCCTCGGCTCCCTGCCGGAGCTGCCCGTGCTCCTTCCAGGGTCGGTGTGCTCAGAGCCCACTGACTGCTCTCCCAGCACCAGAAGCATCTCTTCCTAAGGATGAGCTTCTCACAAACCCACATAGAGCAGCCTGCCAGAAGGGAAAGGAGGAAAATGAGCTGATGGGTGAGCTGAAATGCAGATAAGTTCCTTAAGTTCTGTTGGACTTTTACAATCTGGAACATCCTCCTCGTTCTAAAACCAAGCAATACCAGTGCGTGTCAACGGAGCAGTAAGGTTGCTTACTGGGCACAAGTGAAACTTGTCCCAACCCAAACAATCAGAGCACATTTGGAAATCAAGGAGTGTGTTTGTGAGAACACTTTACTGAACAGCCAGGCAGTGCAGTACCACAAACCTGCAGCCTTGCCAGCCTGTCCAGGAGCTCAGGGAGGGCAGCAGCTGGCCAAACTTCCACTGCTTCTGTATGTAGCAAAAGGTTTTGCCTTGGCAAGAGGTGAACATCTCTGGCATGTGTTGGTGAAAACAGTGCTCCTGGAATTCGTGTAAGGATGGGAGCAGCTTTCCCTCCTGAAGGTCCATCTTTTGCAGCAGCATGCTGACATGTGGAAAAGAGCTGTTCTACATGACTGCTCTTCTCTGCATCTTGCTGCTACCTGCTTTAACAAAGCAGAGTAATCTGAACATGGAGTACGAGATGCGTAGCTCGGTAAAAAACTAAGGGTTTAATTTTACAGTTAAACTTCAACATCCTATACTACTAAGGCATTCTCCTGTTGAAAAGAATAGACTTATTTTTAGAATAAAAATCATCTCATTTGCTTTGCTAGGTGGGTTATGAAAGCATAAAATAAGAGTTTAGTACCACGTTCTGTCTTTTTCTCAACTACAGAAACACTGCTGAAAGGCTGCAGAGAAATGCTTGTAAGTGAGGGCTTAACACATGGAAGATCCATCACCAAAATCATAGTTTGTTTTCTGATGGAGCTGTTAGATGGCACAAGTAAGACTGAACAGGTTTACTAAATTTGACTTCTTGCATTACTAAAAGCCTCTTTGCTTACATCTTCATGGTGCAAAATTGTTGCTTTACATAAAAGTGCTCTGTGCTTCTAGTATCGTACAGTGATTCTAAGACAAATGAAGTTTTCCTTCTGTATCAGGAGAACACATTCTACATTTACTTAAAATTTGTTCTTTGTAGGGAGTGCAGGCACTCTACTGTGCACCCGTTTCTCTACATTGTAAACTGTTAGCTTCAGAACAGGTCAGATTGGTTCAGTTCTTACCTGTTCCAGGGGTAGCAGTTAGGGTTTCATTGCATGTTATTGAACTGTTGTCTTCTCCCTCTCAAAACCAAATTGCCATAATTAGCAAACAGTGGGCTTCTCCCATGGTAATCCATCTGTGCTTCAGTCATTCTAATGAACAGAATGATTATTAAAGTGCAATGAAGTGAATTCTGTTATTTGCACTGTATTCAAAGCACCATGTGGCTGTGCCTCTCGATTTAGTAGGTGTGGGGCATTTAAGAGTGGCACTACCTACTTCTCAATGTATTTAAACGTAAAAAGAAACTTTCCCTTTGGGAAGGGAAATGGCAGCAAGTGATACCATCACACAGTACGTCTTGAGAAGGATTGAGGATTACATTAAAGCTCTTTAGATTCTACTCTGTTAAAATAAAAGAATGGTCTTGAATGATTCCAATATTGTTGATGGACTTTAAAGATTGTGGGCACTGGTGAAGATTTATGTAGCATGAGAGCTTTGAGTCCTGGTTCACAGGAGGGCTGGGTGGGTTTGAAGACTCCAGTACTCCATAAAGCAATAGAACAGCGTGGTGCTGGGATGCTTAGAGGTGATCCATCCACGGATAACCAGTGTATAAGTTCTGTTTTAAAATGGGAAGAACTTAGGGTTTCTTTATCCAAACACTTTAAACCTTGGGAAAAAGCTCTGAAGTAGCTGTGTTTCTTAGCAAGGGGTGTTACAACAAAAAGCTACGTGAGGATAAACTGCTAAGTAAGTGTAAAGCAACGAGCCACGTGGCTCCCAGCTCTAGCAAGAACTTGTGTACAGGGTGACTTGTAAATAAATTCCACAAACACTGTTCAAAGAGTCTGACAGCTACAGCCCGTTGTTTCCTACCTTACAGAATGTGTAATGACTACCACAGCTGTTGTTTGTCCCGAACTGGACATCTACAGCTTACAGAGACAAGTGAACAGGAACATTTGTCTGTTTGGTCTGAATTCAGTCTTTGGTTTATGTATCTGGACCAAGTACTCACTTCAGAGGCTGCCAAAGTGAAGGTTAGCACAAAGCAGCCTGGGAACAGCCTTCTGTCTGCTACAGAAACCAGCTGATAAGGGGACTGGGAAAGGGCAGGAAAGAGACAAGAAACACCTTAAAACAAGGGCATCTTAATCACATGAAAATTGAAAATGTTTTCTTGTCTAACTACAACTGCAGGTGATGCAGTATGTCTTGTATTCATTTCAGGCTTCTTGAAGAGAATCTGGGTTTTTCTTGAACTTCCTTCTGTCTCTTTCCTGCTAGTGATGCTATTCCTACCCATATGAGAACTAACAAGGCTGTCCTGCATGCAGGAGAAACCTGGTCAGGCCCAGGTGATGGGAAGGAGGTGAAAAGTAAGATGTTAGAAATCGTGTAATACCTACACAGAGTCATTACTATTTTAGCAATAGCACTGGATTGATTTCATCACGTTACGTTAGATTTTAAATTGCATGCATCTTTAAACATAATAATATGAAACATCTAGCAATACTCCTGTTGCTTCCCTTGAGAAAGGACCCAGGTCTTCAGATGACTTATTTCTTAATTTGAAACAACTACAGTCACTGTACCCCGGAGGTGATTAAGCAAAATAGAGATTAAGTGCCTGTGAACAAATTGCACTTAAAATGGTGTTTTGGAGCACATAGAGCAATTGCTGTCTCCTAGGTTTATGAGCTTGAAAGGCACAATAGCTGCATTTCCTTAAGTTTTGTCTCTGATATTACTAGTTTACCATCAAATGCCTGGACCTTTCACTTTGCTCTTGATCCTGTGCAATCCAACCTCCTTGGTGCAGGGGCAATGGGGAAGAACAGCACAGTAAATGAGGGTGCAGTCAGTTTTGGCCTCAGTCTAACCTGATGAGCACTTAAAGAGTACTTTATGCTTATTCTTCTAAATGTGATTGTTGTAACCACAGTGAAACAGTTAACGGATGCTGTGATGAGAGGTGCATGCAGTACAGGGCAGGAGGAGGGGAGCAAA